ATATCAAAACAATTTTAAAACAATTTCATTTTATTTTCAAACAATTTTAAAACAATTTAAAATAATTTAAAATCAAATTTCAAACAATTTTAAAACAATATTTATTTTTTCATTTTATTTTAAAACAATCTCCAAATAATTTTAGAAATTTAAAACAATTTTAAAACAATTTTAGAAACAATTTTTAATAATTCAAACAATTTTAGACATTCCCTAGGGGCTACGGAACCTCAACATTTCTAAAAATATCTAACATATAATATCAGAATTACCAGGGAATCCTAGGAATCAGAAATATAAAATTCCTATTATAAAATTTTCAAAATCTGCATTTTTATAATAAACCCTATACCTCAATATTATTTATATTTTCCAAAATCAAAATATCCAAAAATATATTGGATAATATTAATATATCTAGGATATCCTAAATTAATAAATATTAATATATTATATTATATTATATTTCATTATATTATATAATATTATATAATATTATATAATATTATATAATATTATATTATATTATTTAATAATATATAGTAGTATCACCCAAAAGGGAAATGGGGAAGAATGTAAATTATATATATTTTTTCCCCCCTCCCATTTCCATAAATTATTATATATATAGTATATTCCTAAGGAATATTTTGCAATTATTTTAATTAAAATTATACCTAAGGGGGTCAAAATTTATATTTTTCATCCTTTCAAACATATAAATTTCTGGTACCTTAGAAATTTTAAATTATAATTAATTATCCCCCTAAAAATATCTAAAAAAATATAAATTACATATAATAAAATTCCCCACCCAAAAAAATAAATTAAAAAAATAAGAATCATATTATTTAAATAAATAATAATATAAATATTTTATATATTATAATATATATAATAAATATATAAAAACTATAATAAATATAATTAATATAATAAATATTATCAATAAAATAAATATAATAAATATAAGAAATATAATCAATAAAAAATATAAACTAAATATAATAAATATAATACATATAATAAATATAATAAATATAATACATATAATACATATAATAAATATAATACATAAAACAATAAACAAAATAACAACACATAAATAATGACAAATACATTCGAAAAATATATGGTAAAAGGAGGAATAATCAATTCGAAAAATTGTAGAAAAGGTAATGATTACATAATAATAAAAACAAAAAAAGAAATAATAACAGCAATGATAGCTAGAATAACCACAAGAATAGCAGCAGGAAAAGCAGCAAGAGCGGCAACAGGAGCAGCAACGGGAGCGACGACAATGGGAATCATAATAGGACTAGCAATAAGTACAATAATGGATAACAAACGGAATATTATGAAGAAGAAGAATACCAACAGGCAACAATAGGAAAGAATCAGAATAACATCAAGAACAACAATCGGAATAATATCAGGAACACAACAAGAACAGCGGCAGCTACAGGAAAAACAATAGAAAATAATGGCAAGAACAAGAGAGGAACAACAATAGCAATCGGAACATCAGAAATGAATACGGGCAGAACAAGAGGAGCGAGCAGGAAACTAATCGTGATTCATTTAAATTTGATAATCGATAATCTTTTGCACGTAGAGGGATCTGCCAAAATACAAATCCCATCAAATCAGGCCAGGAAATGGGAATAGAACACCGCGAAATTCAATATTGAAATTCTTCAGCCACTACTTAGACTTTCTCTGACCTTGGCCGACTTGCGAAGTCTTTTCAAAACATCGAACGGCAACATGGAAGCGTACGGGTTGACCGCCTTCCAGATCTCTGCCTCTGTACAAAATCTTCATGGAAGTATGGCTCAAAAGCAAGTCATCAAAATGAGGTACCAGTCTAAACACATATTGGAACCAGTTCAGCACCAAAGCGGGTACTAAACCATCCAATCTTTTGGGAGTCAATCATTAGCCATAGCCACATCTTCGGCTCTTTAACGGCTGCGGGTCCAATGGGATCTCTTCCAGCACAGCCCAGCATTGTTCTCTCCGCTCATTGGCTGCGTTATGTGGTGTACCATTTCTCATGAGCAACTGTTCGTTGACATATTCTCCATTTCAAGCTCGCAATCTTCCGGGGCAACTGTTGAAAGCTTGGAAGAATGATTTAGGCTATCTTCCCCTGAGTGTTCATGAAGACTAGCTCTATCGACATGCTTTACCTCTGCTAAGCAAACATGATACTGAATCATTCCCAAGTGATACCTGATTACATGATATAGATAACATGGGGATTTAGACTCAACCCATCTTAGATTGCCAGAAAGGCAATCATGATGAAATCCCCATATTTGATGATTAAACCATGCAGGACATTGGTTTATAGGATTTTGGCTGGAATTTCCTGCTGGACCATGCTGGACCCAACCAGCCACTCCTTAGCCATTCCCCTTTGGGGAACAACTACAAGACCGTATCACCGCCTGTGGGATAGGCGAGTGGCGCTGTGGTCTGGAGTATTCTGGCAGGTTTCAGCATATATCATACGTGATACGTGTATGTCACATCTATCCATCAGTCTATCAGTCTATCAGTCTATCAGTCTATCTATCTACCTATCTATCTATCTATCTATCTATATTATGTTATGTCATATTGTATTATTTTGATTTACTTTGTATATACATATATATATATATACACATATATATGCATACATACATCGTTTATATAGTACGCATACAAGGTTACATCTATCCATTGTAACCTGTATTTCTGTGGACCAACGTTACACCCCAAATCCACCATCTTGCCGTGGAGGACTCAACTGCAGCCCCTCCTACGTCCTGCCTGGAAAGGCACCCAGAATCTCACTCATGTTCGGCCATTGCACGATCCAGAATCTGCAGGCCACGGTCCAAGTGGAACAAGAGGAATATCAACCAGCACCATGCAGCACACCCAAGCCAACAACAGCCCGGAGCCTGCAAGTCACTCTGGAGCAATTCAATTGCTTGATCCACGGCTTTAAGACGTTCGTCGACTTTCACACCTACCACGCAGCAAGATGCGAGTCTCCGAGTGGATGGTTGGACCACTTTGACCGTTGCTGGCTCAACATTGGGCACTCCAAAACTGGGTAAAATTGGATGATCATGACCCAAATCTGTGGAGGGTTGCTACTTTCATTGGCCAATACCTTGGATACTCTCACGCTTCAGACCAAGCTCAAACAAAGATAGACAAAGTATAGTTGAGCAAGATAGACAAACCACGCTTCAGACCCCATTATTTCCCCATGAAATCCCAAATGAACGGTGTATTAGTGACCTTCCAAATATATATATATGTATATATATATCAAGTTGGTGATCACTCATTACATCCCTATCATATCTCTATCACTCTCCCTATTATAATCTGGTCAATGGTTTCAACCCATCAACCCATCAGAAAGTCAATTTGGATAATCATCTCATTCCTGGAGTGGAACCCATCATGTTTGTAACCACCAAGAAGTAATCCCTATGATATAGTAGTAAGCATATACTTATTCTGTATCAATATCATTCAATATCCCTAATATATCCCCAAGATATCACCAGATATCCCTGTGATATCCCTATGATATTCCTATTGTCATTGGTGAAACTATCCATGGATCTTCAGCCTGGGACCCCCGACAAAGATCCTGGCGGAGACCCCACTCTCTGCGCCAGAGGTCGCACCTAAACGCTCGCAGAACATACGGAAATAATTCAGGAAACAAATCAATCAATCAATCAATCAACCAATCAATCAATCAAATCAATCAAATAAATCAATCAATCAATCAAATAAATCTAATCAAATCAAATCAAATCAAATCAAATCAACAATCAATCAATCAATCAATCAAATCAAATCAAATCAACTCAAATAAATCAAATCAAATCAAATCAAATCAAATCAACAATCAATCAATCAATCGAATCAAATCAAATCAAATCAACAATCAATCAATCAATCAAATCAAATCAAATCAAATCAAATCAAATAAATCAAATCAAATCAAATCAAATCAATCAATCAATCGATCAATCAATCGAATCAAATCAAATCAAATCAAATCAAATCAACAATCAATCAATCAAATCAAATCAAATCAAATCAAATCAACAATCAACCAATCAATCAATCGAATCAAATCAAATCAAATCAAATCAACAATCAATCAATCAATCAATCAATCAAATCAAATCAAATCAAATCAAATCAATCAATCAATCAAATCATATATATATATATATATTGTGTATAATATTCTATATATACGGATGAGGAGATTCTTGTGGCATGACACATGTGGAAGGGACTATCTCACGCCAGTGGTGGCTGATGGATCAACCCGTGGAAACATTAACCATCCGACCATTGCTTGGGTGAAAAAAAATGCGTTGAGTGGTTGTAGGCCCTCAGTTGTCTAATCTTTATGTTGATAATATACATACAACTCAGTGGTGGTATACCTACAGCTGGTGATGTACCAATATCTAGATCTCAATATCTCTATCTATCTACTCTCTACCTCTCTGTATATATATATATATATGATTAATAGGTAAACATCAATATCTATCTATGATTAATATATCTCTATATATCAATATCTATAGATAGATCGAGTATATGATTAATAAACATACGTCCCGATACTATCTATATCGATATGTCTGTCCGCCAAGGAACTGCAGCGCCAGAACGTCTTGGGCTTTCGCTTCCCCGCGCGCCTTCACCAAAGCCATGGCAAACTCCTGGCGGGCACACAATGGGAAACCATGGGAAATCATGGGAATATGACCGTCGAAATGGGATGAGTTGGGATGAGTTGGGATGAGTTGGCTATATCTACAATACATGGTAAACAATGATAGATAGACACACATCATCATTCGAATTGATCTTTCAAAGGGAAGACAGATCAAATACTCACAGAAAGTATCCACCAGTTGATCGCTGCTCCCAAGTGTCCTTGTACTCGAGTTTGCCGGAACCATCATAATCCACCACCTGGGCGCAAGAACCGCACTGCTGGGGCAGGTTTCTGGTGTGATCTTTGTCAAAAGGAAGGCCATGGAAGCTGCAAAGGTTCCTGAAATTTCGCCACATATTTACATAACACACTCGCTATAGATTATATATAATATATTCGTTATATATTCATAAAAACATACAGTCATATACTGAATGGCACAGTGTTGTCTGACACTCACCCTTCGAGTGGTATTTTGAAAAGTTGCAGAGCGAATTTGTTTCAAATGTTTCAATGCATCACTTCGCATGCCAGTGAGCACCCATAACATGTTGCTGTCTGGTGATTCACAACATACGATTTCAAGTTTGGCTCGTTGTTTGAACCCGAGCCACGTCGAAGATAAACTCTGCGTTGGTGATGTCAATCCCAACCTCTCTGAGGTATAATCCTCAGCATTTCTCGAATCGCCACACGGCAGATCTTCCAGGCCAAACAGAAGGGACCTCGCGGTCCTAAGAAAAACCTGAAAAGGCCGCCTTCTGTCAAAAGGGAACCCATTTTGAAAAAGCACTGCTTGTTTGATCTTCAGTGTATCAGAAGGTGCACACTTTGGAAATTCCTTGGGGACACAGCTGTGATGTGACAATCCTGAGGGTGGCCCCAACATGTAACATATTGGTCATCCAAATTCGGGTGTACGGGATATTGACCTATGGCAAACATATGTATACTATTGTATACTGGTATACCTATCTATGTTATTCTACGTTTATGACTAGACAAGTGAGACCGTTGGGATTTGCTGTAAATATAGCTGCACTAAAAGCCCAGACCTATGGCAACACGAAGGTTGCTTGGCAAAGCGTCGTACATCTGGCTTCAGCAGGGCTTGCATAAGCTCTTCCTGGGAGTTGGGCCACCGGGATTTGCCCAAAAGGATGTCTGAAATGGGCCGTGTCAAATGATGGGTCTAAGTGATCTAATGTTTATTAATGTTTAAAGGCCCCCAGCCAATGGTCCCATATATCATCATATATCAATATCATATGGGGCTCATGTATTCTTACGGTTGGCCGTCAAATTGGATCATCTAAAAAAAGGGCTCAACCCGAAACTGGTCAGACATGGATGTCACCACCATCCTTTGGCAGGCTCCTTGGTAATATGGCCATCACCATTCCCATCTGCTCGTCTGAAGACCTGAATCGAGACACATGGCTCGGTCTTTCGATTCTTTCTGCTGATGTCTCCCCGGAACCGTGCTGGGAAGATGACAGTTATTCACTACGGACCATACTGACCAAATACTGCATCATCAGCTTCCCACCATGAGGTTTTGAAGTAGACAAGAGATGCTTGTGGCTGTGGCCTTGTGCCAATTGTTGGGTTGCTTTATGTTCGAGTATGTGCGATTTGGTGTTTTTCTAGTTGTGGTAGTTGTCAGGGCTGTTGTGGTTGTGCTGGTGGTTGAGCTTGTTACATGGTTGTTGTCGTTGTTCTCAGCATCGTAGTCACTACTACTGTCGTTGTTATTGTTATTCTGGAGATTGCTGAGTCCTGTGCTTTCAGACACTTATGGCAACCCTACCAACCAGCTTGGAAATAAACATTGTGAGTCAATGTGAGTCATACGTCAGCACAATCCAAAGGAAGATCCGTTCTGGAATGGAAGACATGATTTTGAGCCTTTCCATTTATCTCCATCCGAGGTAGATACAGGGTATCTACCCCAAAGCTGGGCAACAAAAAACATGGGATACCAATATCACTAACCATTGTATTTTATAGCGATGTCTTGAGGACGTCTACGGATAGGAGATCATAGCGCATAGCATGGCCTCATCCACCTTGACCGTGGCCATGCTGGTGTGGTACTCCTGCGACCGCTGGTTGCCCGGCAAGCTAGCAGCATTTTATTGGGGGGATCAGGCACTACCATCCCTGGGCATGTCTGAAAATGGGCATACCACAAACATCTACAAGAATGGCTATGTCATATAGGAAATATATAGGACATATGATGATCCACAGGATTTAGGGGTAGCCTATTCTCGGACGAAGCCACATGTTACTGGCATCAACCAATGGGACGTACTTCAGCTGGTGATACCTCCATGTCAAACAGAGATATATCGCCATGATATCCCCAGTTTTGCAGGGTAACTACCAATTTCATTCCAATTCGATCACCCCTTAGTTTTTCTTAATATAATACTTCTGGTCTAATTGCTTAAACGCCATTTCGGTTGGTCAAAGTGAACCCATTCTTCTTGCTACTTAAATACCAATTTGTACAATTTTTTTCTAGTTAAAATCCCGCCGTTTTGCTAGTTTGATCCCAATTTCGGGTTAAAATCCCAAACAATTGCTGGTTAACTAAGGTTAACTAAGGTCAACTAAGGTTAGCCAAGGTTAGAAGTATATATAAGTACTATTTTTGTTGGACCGATTCCTGGCTGCTTCGCCATTTTTCGGGCACCAGGTCACACCAGGTCAGCGGGCCTGGTCGCGCATGGCCTGCAACTTCTGATCCAGGGCCGCTTCCAAGGTGCTGTCCACGATGACCTGCAGTCAGCCATGTTGGTACCCCAGCTGGATGGTTTTTGGATGGTTTATACTAGAAAATCCATGGAAAATCCCATGGAAAATCCTATGAATATAGATGAATACACATGATTTTTTGGGGTACCCGGATTGTAGGAAACCATAGGAAACCTCCAATATGGTGAGGATTGGTGGTTCTGAATTTTCTAAGGCCTGCAGGGGCCCTCATGTCGAAAACTTCGATCCTCTCATCTCGAAGTTTTCTGAACCAGCAGCAGTCAACAGTGAACAGCTGGGGTGTGGGCTGATACGATCATATTCATGATGGAAAAGGTCGTGATGAGCAAGAATGCCACAAAAACCATCCTGAGTTCGGCATTTTGGCATCACCGTGCCAGGACTTTCTGTGCCACCAGGAACCGTGTGTGGCCATAGCCAATGCAATGGTGGAAATCTATTAATGTTGGCTCCTGATTGGCGCAATGGGTCGGTATTGTGTCAAGTTTTTTGAAAATAATTCAGGTCCTGTTAATTTTTTGGGCTGGGTTGGTATTGTGTAATGTTTTTTCTCATGCCATTTGTTCAGCATGTTTTTTCAGTTTTTGTCAGATTGTTTCAGCATTGTTTTTCAACATGTGTTTTTCAGTAATTATACTTACATCCTTTTATCCTTTCCTCTACTTTAGCCTCTTCTCTTGATCCCAAATAGTAGGTTGGTTTGGGTGGTCCTCTATTGTGTCCAACTTCTTCTGAAGTAGAAAGTTATCCTAATCCTAAGCTACCATTATCTACTTTTCTTTACTCCAGCTTTTGTACCTGCAAGCCACAAGCTCTCACCATTTTTTTTGCATTGCATCTTGAAGGTTGAAAAGGAACATCGATTGAAAGTAATTTGAAATCAATTGAAATCCTTACTAAGATCATGATCCAAAACCATTCCTGACCTGGTCCCTCAAAATCTACCAGCCTAAAGATGCCCCTTCATTTTTTTGGAGGGGGGACCTACACTATTTAGTCAGGAGCCAACATTAAAATGATTATTCCACTGGGCTTTTACCATGACCAGCCCAGCAAAACTGGGTGACATGGCAACATCCGAAGAATCTAGCTGACGAGAATTCAAGGATAAAACATAACATTGTTTGTTTCCCAGAGAACCATCATTCATTGGGATTCTGTGGAAGGTTCATAGTCATCCAGGTCCCCATCAAACCTGGTAGGACGAACCCCAGGCTCAAGAGCTCATAGCGGTCTCTTGCATTGAACATGACCAAACAACCTCCGACGTTTCACTATGTTTGAGACATTTTTGGTATGGGTTCCGCTGAGGTAACGGAGAAACACACCTTTTCCAACCACCAAACTCACCAGCCACGTTTAGGTGTTCCCTTGGGGTACCCGGGTAACAATCCCAGCCATCGATGCCAAAGACGCCAGGTCCATGGTTCGAACTCCATTGCTTTTCGCGCGACAGTGGGCCAACCTTCCAGCGTCATCACTTGGAAGAGAGTGAAGGAGCCTTCAGAACAAGGTTCGCGGCAGCACAAGGTCAACATGGAAGTTGTTTGTTGGAAGAAAATACTGCACTAATTATAGTGTAAATAGGCTCCAATATCCCCAACAAATCTTTGGAAATAAGTTGCCTGGCAATTTTCCAGCCCATAATATTTCCAGTGCTTTTTTTTGCAGGTTGAGGTATATTTTGCCATATGATTGACATGACAGAGTTCTCTACAATTTTCCTTGTGCCATACGCAACAACTTGTTTTTGTGAGTCTGGGTTCATGTTTGGTACCCATAAAGTTGGATGGTCAAAAACCAATCTCCACAATCTTTGTATCAAACGGCCTTCATAGTTCACCCATTCCGGAACAATTGCAGGATATTTGTAGCAGAAATTATGCTTTCCCGCAAAATTGTCCGCTAAAATCTGTCATGAAACCTAAAACGCATCAAAAAGCTGGTTGTGAGTAGATTGTGGATTACTTTCATTTAATGTTTGTCGCCCCATGAGAACCCACAGTGACAGAAACCTTCCATCTTCTGATTTACCAATAGATTGGTCCGAGGGAAAATTGGAAACTAGGACTTCTAACCCACAAGGAGTTTCCTGCAAAGCTTTTCCTTTCAGTCAAGGAAATGGGACCACATGGGACCACTATGGACCACCTGGTTGAACCGACTGGTAAAACTTCCAGCGACATACCACATGTGGATTGTAGATTTCAGCATTGTAGAATTCTCCTATTGTCCAGAGATTTGTGCAACCCAGGATGGCTTAAAGCATGGGATATTGACTCAGAATATGATTCATTTTGGGGTATTGAAACATCAATCAGCTGTTGGTGAATGATTTTGAGCCACGGCACTGTAGAGGATGTTGCCGAAGTATCGATCGATTTCCGCATCTGCTTCTTTGTGGGGGAAACCCACCGTCCGCGTGAGGAGGATGGCAAAAATATAGATTAAAATAGATATGAGAACCTGGGCAGTCGAAGTTGCACCTTGTGATAATTATATGTGAAAGCCATCCCGTCATGAATTTGGAAAACAGAAACGATCTCACCAAAACACGCACTTAATACCAGCTCTTGACACCAGCGCATACCAAAGGAATCGAAGGGAACCGTGCTGCTGCCTTGCTAGGAACAAAGTACAATCAAGAGGCTGGAAAAACAGGGCACCGTGCTTCCAACAAATTGTTGGAGAAATGACCCAACAAGGCCCAACAATAGAGAGAAATGGTTTTCTCTCTTGCTTAGTTTACTTTGAGTTTCCTTTCCTTTAGAGAAGAACCGGGCCAAGCACCAAAGATACTTGGATTGCAACTCCAACTCGACACCGGATTCACAAGTGTATATACATAATAATCTATGTATATATATAATTATATATATAAATATACAAAGCCATGGTTGACCTCTTGGTGGTTTCAACCCATCCCAAAAATAATACGAATATATCAATTGGAGCATTCAATTCTCTAGTGTGTCGGTGGTCAAAGGTGCCATCTCGGGAATGGCCAAGTTGGACCAATTGACCCGTACCCATATGTGGCTATGGATCAAAACGTCTCTGGCCCGCTGAAAGACGTCAAAATCGCTGCAAAGTAGATCTTCATCCTCCCATTCATATAGGAATATCATGGAATATCATGGGTTCTGACAAATTTGAACCATACCAAAATCATCCAAAATCAGCGTTATAGAAATGATCCCTTGAATGGGCAAGCAGCCCAAGCCCACAACAAAGCTCTCATGGCGTCTACGGCACCTGACCATGAAAAGCAGGGCCCGAGGTTTGGGATCAACCGGTGACTCGTCTCAAAGTGCGAAGGGCAAGTGGGGATCAACACCTTCTAAGATGTGTACATAATTAGTACACATATAATACATGTCTATATGGATGTTTGTATATAATGTATGTAATGTATGTAATGTATGTATGGTATGTATGGTATGTATGGTATGTCTGCATGGATGCATGGATGCATGGATGGATGGATGTATGTATTGTATTGTATCGTATTGTACTGTGTGTTATGTTATGTATGTATTTTATGTTATGTATCCAATGCATGTAATGCATGAATGTAATGCATGTAATGCTTGAAATGCATGTAATCTATGTAATCTATGTAGTGCATGTAATCTATGTAATCTATGTAATGCATGTAATGCATGGAATGCATGTACTGCATGTACTGCATGTAATGCATGTAATCTATGTAATCTATGTAATGGAATGTAATGTATTGTAATGTAATGTAATAATGTATGTATACGTATATGTACGAATAGAGCAACCGAGAAAGTTGGAGAAAAAACATGACACCCATGGGTGTATATATGTGTATGTATATATATATCTTCCAAAACACATCATCATTAAAAATCAAACCTGGGGTACCAACAAAACACCTGGCGGGGATCAACAATTCGGGAAATGCGGAAACCAAAGAAATTACTCCATCATAGCTGGTTGTGCTGGTGTCATACTGCTTTCATTGCCTTTAGTGGCACAAGGTGTTACCAGAAAAACACAACCGCCTCTATTTCAAGGCTGTTAGCTATGGACACTCAAATGTGACAACAAGCCACGACGCTTTGCTCGATGCAAAAAAAAAGGCTTTCGTACTCGCGGCTTAGGCTTTGCCGCAGAGCAGACTTCACGACACCATGACTCACAAAAGCAATGATACGCTTCCCTGCTGAGCATCATGTCCATATTTCCAGCATGCCAGTAGAACATTTTGAAACTATATCCTCATATATGAATGTATATATCATCATATAATATCATATATCATTAGATATCATATCATAATATACATAATATATATATATAATGTATATCATCTATATCCATTCCACTCTCGCCAGGCACCTATGACCAACAGCCATAGAGGTCTGAAGAATCTCAGGAGTCTCAACACCCGTGCGACTCGCAGCACTCGGAGGACTCGTAGCGCACTTAAGCTGCCTGGCTGCCAGCACTGGGTGGGCAGCAGGGCGGGACATCCAGCCGCATTTCCCACCCAAATTTCACACACCTTATGATGTACAAAATATGTACAAAACAAATTGTGAACCATAAGATACCATAAGCAATGATCAATCATAATCATCCTGAAGTACTCCTGAAATATATAGCAGTAGAACGGACAATTTTACCTGTCATTGAGACAGCACAAAGAGTCATGCCCATACAAATCATCCATCTTTCAGGACAATCAAACATGTACACTGACCACGTCATCCATTCTATTTGAAAGTCCAATATGCCCTGCAATCCGTTGCCAGGCTGGCAAGACCGACTCTTTCAGGGGCCCACCAGAATCATAGCTGAACATCGCCGAAGAATATCAAACACACCTTCAATACCGTTCAACATCAAATTACCTACTAGAAACAATCAACACAACTACAGTAACAATTCTTCGTTGGCAAGAATGTCCACCTGACTTTGACTGACACGATCTTTCTTCTCCACCCAAATACACCATTCACATCCATGGAATCCAATTACCAGTATCCCACCATCCCGTCATATTTTTGGATGGCTCAAAACCTACTGCATCCTTTTTGGGGATGAACATCAATTCACCATCTATTTTGGGCTTCCCCAATATAATTCACCAGGGTTTTGACCCTGCCTGAGCCATCGGAGATGTACACCAAGACAAAGGTATCGAGAACGGATAAGACCACCAAGAGGAAGTCCTCAGCGACTCCCGATTTTTCAGGATCTTTGAATTTGGATCTGTCCACACCCGGCCATCCTGGCCAATCTTTATAGGGAAAAAATGATATTAATCATTAACCCATGATTTTTTTAAATATCCATATCCGGCACACCAAGGATGCCAAAAAAAATCTGGAGGCGTTGCCACTAGAGGGTCCGACACAGCAGCAACTGTTGCCATCTAGACGTGGGGAGTTACTATATATATAATATCTATATTCAGAATATATGTATATATGTATGTGTATATATATATATATGTATATAGATTATATATATATATGATATATATATATATATATCATATATATATATATCATATATATATAATCTATATACATATATATATATATGTAATTATTAATATCTAGACATGGAGAGCTACTCTATATATAGTATTAATATTTATGAATCCCTGTGACAGTTAAATCATATATCAAGCATTGAGATTCATACACCATCCAGTAATATATAAAATAATGTATATGTTCGCGTGGTTGCCATCTACTGATCCATCATATTCATCCACTATCTCCAGATTCATCACCTTTTCATCCGGTTTCTCCCGTCTCAAAGGACGCTCATCCGCCCATCCGGCGACTACACCGGCCAGGCGACAAACTTATTCCAATTGTCCGTGATGAAGGGCCACCAGGTTCGAGAATAGATTCGAATCAGTAGCTCCACACAGAAAAAGAACACAAAGCAATAGTTCACCTGCAAAGCATGAGGGAAGTATGGACATAAATACTTGGGGATGTGTTATCACCAGTCACAATAACAGTCCTTATTCGTCACTTCAACCAGTGTATAACAATAATAAACATTAATAGATAATAATAGTATAGTATATAATACTGTGTATATAATAATATTATCATAGTCATAACTTTTATATTTAAACATATACGTATATGTATGTATATACATACGTCGATGTCACCAACCACAATATATATATATATTATAAAGGAGAAGACTCGAACTGTAGAAAGAACATGAAAGAACACTATAATCGGCAACAAGAGGCTGTACGAGGGTTTATCAAGATTTATGAAGATTTTTGATGATGTATTATTTCTAATACTAAATCCCATGAATCCCGAAAAACCACTGATTTTAACCCATTTTTGGTTTTGCTGCCCATCATTTTGGGGTGAAAAATGGATTTAGACCTTCTGGGGGGAGCAGGGGGGGTTTATTAATGCATCACCAGACTTGAGGTGGCCCACGAAAGTTGGATTCATCTACCCAGTTGGCATCCGGCTGGCCACAAAGAAAACTCCAGTGGATGTGCAGGTGACATCAGGTGACAGCCATGCTGGGCGACCGGACGACCGTCCAGGGATCCAGTGATTGATTCTCGTAGACCTCTGGGTGATGCAAATCCTCGGTCTTCCGACATAGGCGAAATAAGATGATATAAGCAATAACAGTTGGAATATGCTGTTGAAGTTCAAATTCGGAACCATTCCGAAGCAATCTCAAGCCAATTCCTTTGTGATTTATCCATGGATATCCATTCTTCATCCATTTTTTCATGGAATCACTATGTTCAACTGCCGAGGGTCGGTCTCGATCCCCAACCACACCTCGGTCTCACATGCACCAGCTGTGCTATGGGCGGATAATCACCATGGCTTTCTTGGAAGATTTTAGTACCAAACAATAGCGATAAACCATCACATTTGGAGGGTACCATAACATGGCAATTAGCAATGGGGAAAACCATATTGGTTTCCTGGACCATGAACGCGCTATGATTGCTTCATGGACTTGATTGCATCGTTGGCCATGAGAACGTACACTCGATTTCATCCGCGCTTTGTTTGATGCAGCCTGCCCGAGACCACAGTTAAACACATTTCCATGTAGAGTTCATCCCAGCCGTAGCCACGGAAGCCGTCGCGAGCATTGCCCGAGTGGCGGTATTCAAAAAGATGGCCGTGGACACCACCGTATTGAACAAAGCTCCACGGGTCCATGGCAGTTTCTCATACACCTGCACCACATGAACCACATTGTAAGCTGAACTTTAGTACCGTGGGATGATCAAAACTGCTAATATCCTGGTAAATGGCACATGTCCTAGGGGCCAAACATAGTGATTGGAGATAGTGATATGTATATATATATAATACTATATATATACATACCAGTATGTATATATATATATATGATGGTCATCCATTCCAAAATTCCATGATGGGAATCATTATCATGGGTATACAACTCCATCTTAATAATCTTAATAGATTGATGACCGTCCCCAAATATTGGTATCCAACTTTTGACCTTGGCACATATGACCACCCCCCAAAAGTGGTGAAACCAGCAGCAGGGTTGACCATGGTGTAGGTAGGCCACATCCAACAAGCCGTCCACAGGCTATTGATCTCAAGTAGCCCCGCTTTTACTTCGTTTTGTCACGTTTTTTGGAGGACCCCAACTCTCCGATTCCTGGGAAGAAACCCAACTTGCACGTATGATTCTTGTTTCCAAAACCATCCAAAAAAAAACGGAAAAAATATGTCCCTGGTCAGATACCCATGCAGCCACTTTGGAAGTTGTGAGGTGCCTGCTCTTCCGAGGGGAGCTTCCATTCCATGGTGTGCTCCTTGCGAGCGGCCACATACCAGCAGCAGGGAAGATAGGGGGGACATATTGGGATCAGGCGAACAGATGCAAACGAATGTTGTGGAGGTCATGCTCACCCAAAAGAAATTGGTTGAAACATGAAACAGAATCGATACAGTACTGGGAAGAGCAAAACATGTATATATAATATATATGATATATTATCATATATTATCATATTATATCATGTAGATTTTTTCTCCATCTATAAATGAAGAGAAACACATGACATGTACATGACACAATGTGTTTGGGGGTCCATCTGGGATCCCCCAAAAACCGCTTCCCCCCCGACGGCCCGACCCAGTCCCTGGAAGATCCCAAGCTTTCCATATCGCTGCTCAGCGTGCGCAAACGATGGTGCTCGTTGTGCGTCATGCTTGACATACCTCAGTATGGACCCTATAGACCCTATGGACCCAGGGGATAGGTCCGTAAAATATGTAACTACTTCTAAAACCAACATCCCTGAAAAGAAATCATCTATTGGAGAAGATGAACATCTATGGAAGCCAACACATTTATAGATACTTATACTTATACATGTCTAATAATGTCTATAGAATAATCGAATTTTAGAGATATTCATACATAAATATACATAAATTAAATATCTCTTGAACATTCTCTATAGATCTCTATAGTAAATTTAGCATTGTTTAACAACAGTTCCCACCATCTCCAAGGTGCTGGTGCCGGGGATGTCCATCGTGGGTCTGACCCGGTGTCGACTCGGCACCCCTGAGGCGCCTGAGATCGACTGGACGGGCGAGTGAGTCATGGTCACTGCGTCCACCGCATGGTCCAAGGCAGCACCTGACGTCCCGCTGTAGGATGCCCACCGCGTAACGCGGGGCCGTGGGAACAATCAAACATGATGGGAAACATATGGTCTTTTTCTATATACCACATCAATTCATAGAATGCGATAGAATGCGTACATGTTTGATAATTTTGATTTCCTGGGGTGAAACAATCAGCCAATGGGGATGGCTTGCTGGTAAAACCTCATAAAACATTAGTAGATGGTTTATTACCGGGCGGAAAGAAATATGTCCGGAAATGTCAATAATGTGAAATGGAACAAATTGCTTGGGGGATGTTGGGAATGGGTTTGTCTACCAGTCTAATGTACTGTCACCTATTGCTTGTGAAGGGGGAATTGCCTCTAAATTCATGCAGCCTATCAGGGGTAACACGACCTGTATGGCCCAGCGAGGTGATTTTGCACCTTCCAAAATGGGCACAGTCCAGGCATAGGACGAGGATTACTTGCTGCAACTCCAAAACTGATGAAAGACACCGATGAAACGAGTGCGCCCGACACTTTAACATTCTGACAATTGCTGAATTCATGGCTAAGAATGCTAAGATATAGACCATCTGCGCGGTGTGGGTCAAAATTGCATATCCAAGAACCTGTATATTTATTGATTATATTGGATTGTTGCTGGACTAAACAATAATGTGCTTCCCTTTGCCCAAACGCGCCGGGGATCTCCCTGGCTCTGCGGCAAGGGAACCAATGGACGCCACTGATGTGCGGATGGCTCTGCCCACGGGTGGTTGAAGAGCCATGGCCCGGGTGCCACGGTGCCAACGTTATGGACTTCGATTTTTTTTGGGGGGGTCCCGGAACCAATGGGGCCCCGGCCCTTCGAACACTTGGTGTCGACGTGGCTCTCTTTTTTGGGTCTGATAGCTGGAAATATGAGTGGCCAGTACTCTTTGATATCTAGACGTGAGGGGTGACAGCCACCGCACCGGCCACTCTGAATCAGGATTGTTTTTTTCACTACAAATAAAGGAAACAAATCAGTTCAGTCCGCGAAACTACAAGAATAGGTCTGTGCCACCGCAATTCTCATGACATTTCATCATGACATGATTATGTAATTATATGTAATTATATGTAATTATGCATATATTATCTTTATGGTCTTCGTTAATCTATCTATCAGCATTGTCAACCTGTTTCCTGGTTTTTATCCAACCTATTGATGGGTGAAATCAAGGGCCTTCCCACTGAGAGCCAGGGCCAAGATGGTGGCCATGTGTCGTACATGGGCACCTGATGTACACTAGCTGTAGATGTACATGAATACCATGAGTGACCATGATGTATATCTACCTATTTAGAATTAGAATAGATAACTCTACTGTACAATGATATATATATATATAATGTACTGTATGTAGTAAGAGCAAACATCATGTCTTGAACATTGGTTGATCCATTGGTTATACTTTTGCATTGTACTATTGCAGATGTTTGATGCATGATAAATCGAACTTGGATACCCAAACATGGCTTCACTTAGTCCCAACAACTGGCAAACAACGGTGAACCCTCATCCTCATGCTGACCAAACCAGCAGAGGTCAAAAATGGCCAACGATATTGGCTGCTTACAGACATTTCATGGATGGTACGGGTCAACAATGATCAACATGTTGGATCATGTTGGTACCTTCCAGACCCAAACGACTTCGAGAGTTGCTTTCCCACTGCCGCGGGCCCCAAATGGTTGGCCCTTGAAACCAACTGGGCCAACTGGGCCAGAAGCTCCCCAGCCCCGCAGATCTCATTTTTTTCCCCCTCGACTCCTGCGTTGCGGCACTCGTACCTTTGACCTGCGGGTTGCATTGCACAGGTTGCGCAGGTTCCGCTGCTTTGCAGCAATTTGCAACAGAATTTGCAACAGAAAAACATACGGGTGTGTCTGAAAATAGTGTATCCCTAAACCCAATGGTTAATGATCAAAATGGCTATATTGGGAGAAAAGATGAGAAAAGGCTATGCCAAGATCCTGCTGGTTCAGAATGAAAAATCACCGCTCCGAATGGGGAGGATGAGAATGGAGATGGTGATGGTGACGGCGATGATGATGGTTATCGTTATCATTTATCATCATCGTTGTCATTGTGTGATTCGATGATATCGTACATTCTCAATATATGATACTATATGCACCTAACATCATCTAAACAGAAAGTCCATCTGGCGGGAAATGGGGCCAGTTCCAGCATCGCTGGGATTCCCTGCGCGTTCACGCGCCCGCGTGGACAACCAAGGGTCTTCCCAGCTGCTCGACGACTGCGACACATTTTTGGGATCGAATGGATGACGCTGGGAATAAACGTATCTCGTAACCAAGGGGAACCTGTGGCCAAATCTTTGTCAGCTTTTGGAATCTTGGCATAGAGATTGATAGTGATAAACTCCTGACCACAACCATTACCCCTTGTTCTGACTGAGTTGCAACACTTCACCAAGCTGAAATAGGCTCAGTTTGTGGTGGTTTCCCTCCTGAACCATCATCTTTGGTGAGGTCGTCGTGATGTCGTTTAATTGGTCAGAGACTTGTACAATTCCGCAGCTACGCGCTACATCCGCTCTGGCTCTCTTCAAGACTTCCGTTCAGGCTGGCCATGGCTGGCCCATTTTCGTTGAGAAGCATCTCATATGTGTTGGTTGAATCCATTCGTGTGTTAACAATATATACCAAAGCATTAGAACATATCCCAGATCTGCATTTCATTTCGTTGATCTTCCATTGGAGCAACAACTATATATCAATCATTATCAATCCCCTCTCCAAACTCCAAACTCCTCATGCCTCAGGGAACGTCACGGCCGCAGCCAGGCAGTGCCAACCTGCCCATGAAGTGAGGACTAAGATCTGTCTTTTTTTGGTGGGGACATTGAAGTTAGCAACTGATTTACGGCACTTACAATTCTATCTAGGCTAATCTAGGTGGTCGACATATCCATCATCGGGGGTTGTAAGGGCTCCACTGTAGCCACATGTGAGGCATGATCTCATGAAATACTGGTTGGTCGAAACCGGAGTTCTCATATGGATGAAAACACATTGGATTTGGCGGTATACCATTTCTTGAGACAAACTCAATATTTCCATATATTTCCTAAATCTGACACAAGCCATGTTGGAGATCATTTACAATGAGGGCAGCTGAGCTGGTAACATAATCATGCAAATCATCCAGCAGCCCATCTTCCTTAATATCCCCCAGAAACCATCATCTAGCAGGGGATTTACCAATTTCGGGACCATTTTGGTGGACCTAGGGCCGTAGGGCCTGGGATGGGGGATGGGATGGGATGGTTTGTTGTTGGATATTGTTGGATCCTCAACTGGCTCTAACATGTTATAACATACCATTTGATACCGATTGTATCCTGGATACGAGAAGAGTGAAAAGATATAATTGCCAACCATTCATATACTATAGTGTTTGAATGTGTTTGATAGTTTTAGGATGTTGCACGCATTATTCCAGAGTTTGTTGTTGTTTTTTCGCATTCGGAGTCACTACGGAAATCCTCCGAAATGACAGCTGTGGAAACAGCTTGCCTTAAACTCACGAAGAGGAAACGCAACAAAAGAGTTTGAAGACTGCTAGTAGGCAGGGGCACTCGTTCAAGGCTCTGATTGAATTGCCTGCCAAAGGTCAACTCGTGCAGGTTGCTCAGCAACGTGACTGTTCGCGGCTCTGATTAAACCACTCGCCAAACGTCAAGGGTTGCAGGTTGCCGGGCAAGGTCATGCCTTCAAGGCTTTGGTTGAAAAGCCAACCGACAGTCAAACTAAGCAGGTTGTCCGGCAAGGTAAGTCGATGGAGGCTTTGATCAAAGTACTTACCAAAAGTCAAACTTTGCAGGTTGCCCGGCAGGGTCATGCCTGCAAGGCTCTGATTGAAACGCGAACCGAAAGTCAAATGGTTGCTCGGCAAGGTGACTCGGTCGAGGCTCTGATTATAATCCTGACCAAAAGTCAAACCGTGCAGATTGCCCGACAGTGTCACTCGATCAAGGCTCTGATTGAATAGGCAACCAAAAATCAAGTTTTTGGTTGCTCGGGAAGGATACTCCTTCCAGGCACTTTGAGGCAGATGGTTCAAATAGCGAGACGATTCTCCACCAGCTATCTGTGTGAGCCCTTCCGATGCAAACTCTTCCTCAGAAACTGGGACTTCCTTGTTGTAACTCCATGCATCACATAAATCTGTTGGAATGTAAGTGCAGGACACTATGGATGGCCACATCTCGCTCTCTCGCATGCTCTCGCAACGTTAGACGAGCGGTGAAGCAAAGCCTGTGAACTTCCCGGCCCAGGGTGCATCCTTCACATTCCTTCACTAGGAAAATAATATTTAATATGGAGGTATATGGAGATCCATCAGCAAACCACCAGATGATGGCTCCATATAGCCACCAGCACTGGTAGACATTGGACGCGCAGCGCCGCAGAACTTTTTGCCAGCAAATTCAATATGGAACCTCAAAATTGGCCATATCCAATATATGTAAATTCATCTCCGCTTTCAGGTCCCATGCTAGATTTACATAGATTTACAGGGTGTAACCACCTTTAGGTATTGTTCAACTGGTTTTTTTTTCCCAGGGCACACTTATGATCCGTAATGATCCGTATCTATTTCAAACATCGAGATGCTGTATGTGCTGGTTTAACTGTTACCAGGATTCCATCATATTCCATCCATCTTCCGGAAACTCTTGAATCTTCATGAATCTTCGCTAGTCTAATCACGATATAATTCTTCTCAGTCAATAAAATTAGCAAGTCAATGCCCCTGCATCCCCTTCCTACATGTTGCGGGAAGAGCTTCAGATTGGCCGAATGTTGACCCATCCTTTGGCTACCGTATTCCGCCAGGTCACCCAGCCTCTCGCCGCAACTGAATTGGAGTGATGACTCAAATCTGGTACCTGATGGATTCGGGTGGATTGCTAGGCTGCTTAAAATGATACATGTGAGTGTAAAACCATAACAACGGAGGTATGTATAGTGGGGATGTAACCAACAATGCGATATTCTATTTTGGGGTTGCCTAGAAATGGACAGAAACGGGGCATTTGCCTCATCTTGCTCATCTTGTGGCAGTTTTAAATACCCGAAAAAAATATCGACAATGAGATTGTTGTGTCCTCGCCCTCCATTAGCATATATATATATAATATACATACATTTAAAGGCTATTGGGGATGTAGGTATTTTAAGTCTTGCCAAAGTTCATCAATTAAATATCCTTATCATCCTTAATATAAATTGGTCCGCGGTGTTTTTGTCGCCAGCAAGTGCGGTGGTAAGTGTGTTGATGATCTAAAATAGACTATAATAAACTACGACAAAAAGGGACAAATTCCACCAATCACTGCACATGATGCACATGTATGACACTTGCAACCGTCACTTGGTGGGTTCCTGGGCACGAAACGAAACTCAGAAATCTACCGGTGCAGTCAATCGGGGGACTATGGAGGTTGGGATGTGGATGTTAGAAGCAAAGAGTATGTGATCGACGTGCTGTGGGATTGCATACTTGATCAGGCATGCTGGCGACATGTTGATGGGGAATATTTGTTTCAGATTTCTCATTCAGCATTGACTCAAAGATCTCAAAGATTAAGTGAGGAAACCAACAGAACCTGTCAATGTCCTTTCCATCATGGAGAACAACCGGAAGATCTTGCGAATAGGTTGGATCCCTAGAGATACGATTGTTCCAGCACAACCTGGACCACCTGGCTCTCCAATGGTGTCGGTTTCTGTCCCCAAGAACACATGGCATCTTTTGGGAGGAAACATGGAGATGTGAGTGCCACAGTGAGTGCTTGTCAAACAAATGCGACCCATATTCCATTTAACAGCAGGGGAAACCAGCGATGGTTTAGTGGATTAGCCATTAAACAAGGTCTTAAACAACCATTATATTATATGCCATCCCATCATCCCATCCCCAAATCATGGACCTCCATCGTCTGTAGTGGGAAGTTATGATCTGTAGTTACTATATGGATTTGTCCAAAGATGAGTCCCCCCCTACATCATCTTACATCCATAATGCTTGATGATCCGTTTCCATACGTTCCCCATATTTCCATATTCTTCCTTAGAAAGATACCATTTTGATACCGCAGGACACCCCATGGTGAACCCGAACTCGTGCCTCGCGCACCAAATACTGCTTGGGGTAAGGCCGCTGGCCAGTGCTTGTGGCCTCGAGTCAGTCAGTGAGTCTCTCATCTATCTAATCTACCTCATCTGTCCAATTGTCTGATGTCTAATCTAACTAATCCAATCCACCCTACGGCTTACGAACTTCTTCCCAGTTGTATGTCCCAAAGCTCAGCCATGTTGAAAACTCAGAAAAACACTGGCAGAATACAGTGGGATGGCCGAAAAATCCTTCAGCAATTGGGCCAGAATGTTGCAGCCTGTCAGCACCATTTGTTACCTTGGCGCTTTGCCACGTCGACCTTTGGCGACAAAACGGCACGCGTTAAAACCTTCCATCCCTAGCCAGCAGTAGCAGTATTGGCAATGGAAAACTCCCTTTTCATCCTTTTTGTACATGAAAAATCATCAAGAACAGGGTATAACAGGGTATTACATGGGGATTTTCCATTGCTGTCCTGGACTAATTACCAAAGACATGGAATCATCCTCCCCCAGAGCATTGGAAGGGAATGAAAAATTGAAACCTGTTGAAACCATGAAACAGTAATTAGAATGCACGTTGGTCAAAGGCTCTAGTCTGCCGTACGGGTTTGTCCAAAAATGGTGGATGCCCCTAAATTCCTACTTTACCATATATACTTTACCAGTGAAAAACATGATGAACATGAATGAACCACAATAAACCATGCTAAGTGGGGTGCCCGATTTTCAGACAAACCCAACTTTCTCATGTACACCCTTTGCCTTCAAGACAGCGACAACTTGGTTTCAAGTCTTCAATTTTCGAGATAAGAATATTCGGAGAAAAAATATTCAGTGCCGTAGTCGCAATGATCGTGCGCAGCGGCCCTGCTAACAACAAGGCTTCATGGCCAGGAATGAATATCTTGCCGGATTCCCGGCATTTCGATGCATTGATCCATTTAGTAGAGTCTCCGGCCCCTTGGTTGCGGGTGTCCGGCCCCTCTTTCTTCGATTTTTTTCGCGTTTCTCCGGCCAAATTTTGGTATCCGGCCCTTAAATTCCCGCGCTCTCGTCCATCCCGTCAGTGGCAACAGCTGGGGCCTCTTGTTCGAGAGTCCCTGAGCTCCTATGGCCTTGGTATGTATATACAAACGCATGTGTATCTGTGCTCAAAGGAATTTTAAAAGTCAAACTTCCGACAATATGGACAGATGAAAAAGCAGAGGTGGGAAAAGTCAGAGAAGAGAAGAGAAGAGAAGAAGAAAGAAGATCAGAGAAGAGAAAGAGTCAGAAGACAGAAGATGCAGGTGCGCGGAAAGGTAACAAAGTCGCGAAACACCGTGTTTTTCCAATGATTTGTGTGGCTCCCGAGGGTCGAAAAGTAGGCTCGCTAAAGCGGCGGGTGCGGAGCCTGCTTCGCGCCACAGCGGCGTGCACTCTTTCGACATCTGAACTTCCAAAAGTGCTCCGACCCTGGTGTGTTTTCTACATTTTGACTTGGAATTGTGCTTCGCGCCACAACGGTGTACACTTTTTCGACATCTCAACTTCCAAAAGAACTCCGACCCTGGTGTGTTTTGCACATTTTGACTTGGACATGTGCTTCGCGCCACAACGGCGTGCACGTTTTCGACATCTCAATTTCCAAAAGCGGTCTGAGAGCGTCAGTTTTTTGCGCTAACGGCGTGCCACTTTTCATCTCTCACCTCCCCAGACCATTTCCAAGTCAACACGTACAAAACACACCAGGTTTGGAGCACTTTTTGAAGTTCAGATGTCGAAAAAGTGTCCGCGGTTTTGGCGCGAAGCACATTTCCAAGTCAAACTGTTAAATACACCACATGTTCGGACCACTTTTGGACGTTCAGATGTCGTAGCATTTCCAAAAACGATGGCAGGCGTGGGACATTTGAAGAGGATCCGTAAAGATGCATTTCGCGTAGCAGGCGCAATACAAGCGACATGTTCATCAGAGATGTTAGGGGGTCAGGGCGGAGATTTCCTGAGAAGGGTTGCATTTTGGAGCATGAGATCTTCAGGTTTGCTAAGATGATTTTGTTTGACAGGTGCAGCACTTCGTATGACCTGGCTTCACTTTTTCGCGGCAGGCGCAATACTTTAGACAGATGGAATGGACAAATCGCAAAACGCATTGGTACGAGGCCGTCAGCTTTGTTCTCAGCTTTCCATTTTTGAAGGAAGTCTCGCAGAATTGTTTCGTTTGTGATGTTGTCAACTTCGAAAATTGAGGAAGTCTCGCAGAATTGCTTCGTTTTGGATGTTTCAAAAATTGAGGAAGTGTCGCAAAATAGCTGTGTTTTCAAGCTTGCAGGTAGACAGACAGATAGACAGATAGACAGATAGACGGATAGATAAATAGACAACTACAACTACAACTACAACTACTACCACTACCACCACTACTACCATTACTACCACTACTACCACTACTACCACTACTACCACTACTACCATTACTACCACTACTACCACTACTACCACTACTACCACTACTACCACTACTACCACTACTACCATTACTACCACTACTACCACTAGTACCACTAGTACCACTAGTACCACAACTACCACAACTACCACAACTACCACTACTACGACTACTACCACTACTACCACTACTACCACTACTACCACTACTACCACTACTACCACTACTTCCACTACTACCACCACACCACCACCACCACCACTACTGCTACTACTACTACTACTACTGCTACTACTACTACTATTACTACTTCCACTACTACTACTGCTACTACTGCTACCACTGCTACTACTGCTACTACTGCTACTACTGCTACTACTGCTACTACTGCTACTACTGCTACTACTGCTACTGCTACTACTATTACTACTACTACTGCTACTGCTACTTCTACTACCACTATTACTACTACTACTACTGCTACTACTACTACTACTGCTACTACTACTACTATTAATAATACTACTACTAATAATATTAATACTACTAATATATAATACTAATAGTAATGCTACTAATACTACTAATACTACTAAAAATACTAATACTACTAATACAAATATACTACCCTACATTACACTAGACTAATTACATCACACTACAACTGCAGCTACAACTACAACTACCACTACAGCTACCACTACAACTACCACTACATTGCACTACACTACACTACACTACGCTACGCTACACTAATTACACTACACTACACTACCGCTACAACTACACTACTTTAAACTACACTACAGTAGGCTACGCTACACTACACCACACTACAGAACACAACACTACAGTGCACTACTCTACACTACACTACACTAATTACAGTACACCACACCACAACTACAACTACAACTGCAACTACAATAATTATACTACTCTGCACTACAACTACAACTACAACTCCACTACAACTACAACTACAATTGCGTTACACCACACTACATCCAGCAGTTGTGGTGAGGTGACCACTGCAACCATTGCAACCACTCCAAAAAACACATCTCCAACCACCTTTGCTCTGCCATCTGTGATTCACAACAACCAACCTCTCCTATAGTTTCCTATGTTCGAAACTTCCGCCACCGCCTTGTGCGGTACTACTGGTAGTATATAGATCATCTTCCCAAACTGTACACTGTAAACGTAATATGTACACACATGTACTCTGAGTAGCAATAGTGCAAATTCATGACAACATTGAACAGGTGGAACTCCAAAATTCAGGGCATCCTCCAAACATCTCCAAACCAACTTTTTTGTGGTCCTACTTATTTTCAGTTGCGCCCCCTTTTAATCCGAGTATCTTATAGAATCTGTATTCTGCGTTGCAATAGGGGTCCCAGGGGAAGAGTTTTGATCATCGGCCCGATTTCTCAAGGCTTTGTCCCCCACAAGTGTTATCAAGTGTTGGAACCCTCAGGCACTGGTAATCCCTGGTAAACATGGCCTTTTGGGGCATCCTTCTGACCCCTCTGCCCAGTTGCGAAGGCCAAATGGTGAAAACCAAAGAGTAACTGCAAGAGAAATATGGATGCTGCCGGCAATGATGGCCGTGAGGTATGTCGGCATCCTGAAGGTTGGCCATCTAAATCCAGTTTGCGGGGGTGATCATGTTGACCCACACCTAAATAACAAGGTTTGAAGCGCACAGAAGTGAATCACGAAGGGTTTCTAAGATGGGTTGATGATGGTTGGGTAAGGCCTTCTTGTCAGGAGGGTCTGGGTTTTGATGCCAACAAGGCACTGAAAGATAATCAGAATCTCGTTGAGACCAAAGGTCAAGACCAAGACCGGAAGGTTCAAAGCCTCAGAAAACACCAAGGGGGTTCCGTCAAAATATGGACCTTCGGCCAAAAAATACTTACCACCACACGATTATGTGTAGCTACCTGGATCTCCAAACTTGACCCTGCAGGCTCATCGGTATGACCTGATGAAGCTTTGGGACGTGTTTTGATGCCTTCAATGCCATCCAGGATTTGATAACATGTCTTCTGCCAATGAATGGTGGCTGCTATGCCTCCCCACTTCCTCCACTTCCTCCACTTCCCCCTCTTCCTCCCTCTGTCGTGGGGCAATGACGCAAAGATTCTTCAAGACGTCCCGCAATCCTCAAAGCCGCAAGAATTTTGTGGCACCCCAGATGTTTAAACTCCGCAGAACAGATATATATATAATATATATATATATAATATATATATATTATATATATAATATATATAATATATATATAATATATAATATATATATAATATATAGATAGATAGATTTAAATTGCATTGTGCTGGTCAATAATGTCAGTTATATCTGCATAGACTGACAAACCCATGTGTATTATATATACGTATATATATGATTATATATGTATATATATATATTGCTGGCAACCTATGAATTTGCGAACTTAAACAACTTGTTGTCTCCTAATTACCAGTAACCAATGGGAGACGGTAGGCAAGACTTTATAAAACTATAAATAATATACACAAATTCAAATAATGTATTATATACAGGAAATACACATTGTAACTGCATACATATACCCATAGAATCTCATACAACTGCTTACATAATTAACGTCATTTATCAACGCATGCCCCTGATATGAGAGCACATAGGAAAAACGCAATTGATTGACTGGAGCGATCGAATGTCGTCCATTCAGTGTCCATGTGGCACTGCACGGGCTGCAGAGTTAGAAAACAACGTGTTGATGATGCTTGTTCAAAAGCTTCTTCTTCTTCTTTTTCTTCTTCTTCACCTAGTCTCAAGTTGGCTGTTTCTTACAAACCTAGTTCAACCCCACCATCTGGGACAATCCCTTCAATCATCCTAAACCCAACACATACCCCACAAATCTTCCAGGCCTTTGCCCAACAACGCCCAGCATCTGCTGCGTGCCGGTGCCCGCAACACCTTGGCGCCATAGAAGAAGAGGCCCGCAGCGAAGGGATGGGCACCCAGCCACCATCCACCACTAGCGCCCAGCCAGAACTGCCAGAAGTGATCGCCGCGCAGCCAATGTGAAACCGTCAGATCCAACAAGGACCACAGCATGGGGCAGGTCGCTACCTGCTTATTTCAAGCCGGGGATCGGGGTCTGTGCCATGGGTGATGGGCAATGGAAATGACGGATTATGCTCAGTTCGAGGACCTCATCTCCATGACAACATGTTCATTCCAAATTACTTCTAGGTGCCCAAAACCGGTTCAGAGTTTCTAGTTCACCGCAGTTTTGTGGAAGGGCGGTTCACCTTGCAAATGCATCTGCGCAATGTTGCAAAAAGCAACTGGTTTATCAATTAATTATATTATATATAATATTTATAAATTAAATATAGGTGTGTATATATGTAGATACATAGAACATTAATGAACATGGTATCACATGCAAAGAAAAAACGAGTCTCCTTACGTCCTTGGTCCTCCCTTGGTCCGATCTGCCCAGGCACTAGGAGCAACCAATAGGGAAAACCAAAGCGACCCAGTTGTTCTGCGAAAAGCGAGGGGAGCAAAGCTCTCACGGTGTCTTCGAAGGTTTTTTCACTGCCGAACCATCTTCGGATACATCTCAGGACTATCTCACCTGGAGAAATGGACATCAAGACAATCTTGTAAGCAAGGTTCTTCCTCAAATTCAAAATTAATATAATATATATGTATATGTTACATTCTATTCTTTCATATTCTTTCTGTATGACCACTGAAAAAACAGAACATAAAGGAGTCTACGGCTTCCAAATCGGCATGGTCAAAAGTGGGGGTACAGTCTTCAATAACCATTAAAAACCTGTATAAACCACAATCTATGGTCTCTTTTCAGTGCCCAAGTCACGGTCGCACGGAACGCTGCGATCTGGGTGTCCCGTAGAACAACAATGACATTTCGAGTTAGCGATACAAAAGTTCCGCAACTGCTCTGCTAAGGTATCCTGAAGCAGTGGGAGGAACACGTCGTGAAAACATGTCAACCCTGGTTGTAACAAACTAGGGGTGTTGATTAATTAATGTCAACATGACACGCATGTTGCTGCATATCATATCGTATCATAATATATATAATATATATAATATATAATATATAATATATATAATATATATAATATATATAATATATATAATATATATAATATATATAATATATATAATATATATAATATATATATATAATATATAATATATATAATATATATAATATATAATATATATATAATATATATAATATATATAATATATATAATATAACATAATGTAACATAATATAATACAATATAATATCATACCATATCATATCATATCATATTATATCATATTATATCATATCATATCATTAGGAAAGATTGGGCCTCCAAACACTGGAAATTCTACAATATATTTTTTGTTTTTTTTGGTCAATTATTCAGGTTTGTCATGTTGGATTTGCGTTGTCATGTTATTGACATTTTGGTTTCGGAAATCCAAAAAATGCTTAAATGCTTAAACAAAAGCACTCCCAATCTGGGAACTGCAAAAAACAATTACAAAAAACGACAAGCAATGACAAAACAAACGACAAAACAACGACAAGAAACAATCACAAAAACATGACTCGCGTGCCGGCAAAATATCAAAATGACATTTTTTGACTTTCCAGGTCGGCTCCGGATCCAGCCACCCGCGCCGGATGAGAAAACAACAAGAAAATGACAAAACAATGACAATAGAATGATAGAACATGACAACAAAATGACAACACAAAGGACAAACTAATGACAACACAATGACAAAAAAATGCCAGCACAAAACAGGAATGACACAAAATGACAAAGCCGAAAGACAAAGAAATGACAAAACAAACCTAAATATTCAACAACCCTCAGAGTTTGCTGGTAAGATTGTCATAATCATCTCATCTCATATTATATATTATTCACAATATTATCAGCCATACTGGTTGATAACATAAGAGTTGAAAGTCATACTTCAATAGTGAAACGACACGCCCCCAACTAAACAGGCCAGGGATTGATCAATCGGGAATGACATTCATGGTGGTTGTATGTCCAACTGGATATTGGGTAGTAGTTGTAGGTTTTCAACCAGGGGTGTTTCCACACAAGTGTTGACAATCAACATGTCATCCACCAAAGGGCAAAGTCATCATCCAGGTTTGCGCTTTGTCCCAAATTTCGTAAATGACAAACCTGCCATTGGCAACACTTTGGCAACCATTTTTCTATATTTCTCTCTGGAATACCCCAACAAGATCTCAGGGTTACAAACATCGTAGAAGGCAGAAATGGATCAACCTGAGAGCGCGACTGTCTACAAGCGCGCTTGGGGCAAAAAGTTGCAACATCAACAGGCAAAAAATACTTCCCTTCAGATTGGATCAGATTGGATCATTTGGGTACTGTATAGTAACTGTATAGATCCATGATTCAAAACTTGCTGGAGATATCCTAATTCACCGAAGTCACCTTGGATATGCTCGGTGTTTCCACATGTTTGATTCCTGGGTGACCCAAGCTCCACTTGCCAGGGGGAAAGGGCGTGCCAACCGGCAGGGTTAACTTGATGCATCCGAAACTCCATGGACCAGAAATAGTCCCTGAAAGTGACGGCGGCAGGGTACAGAATGAAGAAGAATATCCTTAGGACCCAATTTCCAATAGCCTGCTGACATCAAATCAGATGCCATTAGTCTCGGCTGGGAAGTCTGAATCTATAGTGAGCTGGAAATGTCAAAATGGAATATACAACCATTTCTTAGCCTCTGGCAATCTATAGCTAGCTTGTTGGAAAATCCCCCAGCTATTCCCATTTATTTCGGGGATTTCCATGGATTTCCCAGATAAATCGATGCCAAGTCTCGCTCCCACCGATGGCAACAGGGCAGCTCTAAAACCCAGGGAAAACAGGAAGATCATCACAAACATCACCTGTCGACTGGGCTAACCACGGAAACCATCGACTGCTAAGGCAGATTTAGAGACCAGTCGTCATGTAAAAACATGTCATTTTATGCCATTTTAAGTGTAAACTTGATGTCATTTTATGTCATTTGATGAATGAATTGTTGGTAGTGAAGCTACCCAGTCCAAGAGCCTTATTTGATCAGGGAATTTTTGGCCAAATATGCAAAGAACCCAGCAGCCGTGAAGTCAAGTTTGGGTCTGGGGATGTCTGGGGTCAGCATGTCAGACCAACCATCCAAAAGTGGAACATATGTAAATCTAGACCACACCTGGACAGGGGATCTTCTATCCACTTCAGGTGAACAATCTAGGTATGTTATACTTACTGTATATATGTATATAATTGTATATGTAATATATAGACAGCACATAGATTAGTCACGATTAGTCTTCCTAAGCATGATACTTTGGTTACGAGCAAGGCTAACCACGGAAATCCATACTATTCTTCTCTGATATTACTGGGGACTTCACCATGTCAAACCATGGGATTCCCCACACTTCTACCAATATCGATGTACATCCCAACTGCAAGTGGCCATGCGGAGGGTTATCCCAAAAATCATGACACATTAATTACTAACATCTTTTAACATCTTTTAACATCCAAAACTGGTGCCCCCATAAATCTTCACAACCGTTTTTTTTTTTAATCCTGGTTAACATCAAGGCCAAGTCACCATGCAGGTAAAACCAAAGATCGTCAGTGCGCAGGCTCCAAAGAGGATTGGTCGGATCAGCGGCGTTTTTGCCATCGTGGAGCCACGGCTTTTGAGGAAAGCCGCAAATTCAAAAATGCACCAAAGCCGTTGTACCCAGGTCACATCCCACAACACCAACCTCGAGAAAAAAGAGGTCTGAGTTGGATTGGAATGGCACGGTGAAATGTCTAAGGCCCAAAATCATCGAAACATTTTTGGTTGGGATGTCTGGAGTCATGTTGCGACTGTACGACCATGGTTTCAAGTTGAGCTGGCCTCCAGAAATCTGACTCGGAAAGGGACTCTTCTCTGTTGAACGACAATTTTTCTCCTGTTTGAACATGTTTTTTGTCTTCGGTCTTTTGGTTGATGTTGATCCGCAATTTGCAACGAGAGATCCCCATATGTAAAGAATCAATTAGATCCCCATCCACCAAATAATTTGGGTCTGCGTCAAAAATCCCGGCACTGTGGCTAAAGCCCGATGAAGAACATTCCGAAACATTGTCGATTTTCTGGGATCTTCACTTACCCTTTATGTTTGGACATCTTTGGTGTTTTGACATGTTTTGATATGTTTTGACCCACCATCCATTACCATCACATCGGCACCAGGTCACATTGTTCTGGACTGCTTCAAGATTCCACCCATGCTGAGAATTCCCTGCGTCTTCGCTGAAGCGTCCTCTTGGTTAATGCATCCAATGTCAAGGAAAACAGACTTCCAGGGTCGCCACAGAAGAAGCGTCAGGAGGTAGGAAAAGATCCCTCACCACGACAGCTGCGCATTTCACTGGGCATGGGGCATCCTCAACATGGATGGAGTATCCACAAACATTGCAGTAAACATCAGCCAGGTTACATAATATTCATGTAATGTTCCAAGATTCCGTGATTCAAACAATACTTGAAACCACCAGCCAGACCAACAGCCAGTCTTCATTTCAACTCTTCCCAGCCTTTGCACATTATCAGGCCACACGTCAAGACACAAGCTCATACAATGGCAGGGAAGGGCTGCCCTATTGAAACAGCTTCCACATACCAAAGGAAAGACTCACCCATCATCTTTTGGATGATTCTCGAGGGAGATTTCTCAAGTAGGGGGAACAAACAAGAATAGATTATATTAAATAGAAAAAAACATGTATATAAAATATAGTAAACATCCAATCACCAAATTGGAGACTCTAAGTTCTTAATTCCTGCCTTCTGAATCCAAAGTGAAGTATCCCCACCATAATCTGTGCTGCTGAGCATCCCAACGCTGTGCCCCACAGTGAAATTCCCTCGAACGGCACGCCGTTGGGCAGAGACCCGTCGATGGTCAATGCGCATCCCACCAAACATGCAACCGTGCCAGCTACAGCTGCGGCCACCCCGTTCTTCAGAAACCTGGGAGCCGCAAGGTCCAAGGATGTCCATTCTGAATGGCAATTTCATAAATCAAGATACATCAAACCGCTATAACAAAATTCACAACCATAGTCCAACATCGAATAAGACATGCGAAACAGAAAAAACATATGACAAGTAAAAACGACAAAATGATAATGATAACAGGACTCACCACCACAAACATCTATAGTACAAACGCCACACACCTGCAGCTACAATCAAAGCAATCTCATCGACAACATAACCACACAAATCTGACGATTTTCAACTCAACAAACACCAACGACCAGCAAAAGTCAGCGTCTCAAATCTATGATGGATAAGTTGCCTTTTTGGGTAAACCCACTCCCCAAGGGTCCAAAATGTCCAAAACCAAAGATGTGGATTTCACAAGCCCATAACTGAAGCTCAAGGCGGCCAAACTCCATAATTTGGTCCCAAAGGCGTTTTGAAACAAAATCCCGGTCGGACAACAAAACGGTCGGACAACGGTGGTTTCAAAGGTTTCAACCCTCTACCAACCCTATGATGGATCTGCTATTCTCAAGATTCCCAATTGAGTCCTGATAACATTCGCAGCTTTGAAACCACCCATCTGAAGCAAATCAAAGTGGGACAACAAGCACAGAACCTTCTTCCAAGGTTCTGAGTGCCAAGAATGCGACCAAAACTCATCAATGATATCAGTTTCCTTGCTCATTCCATAGAGGCTCATCTTGCCTGGAATGAGACTTTCGAAACAAAACTTAGTCTCTATATATGACTATATGTCTCTAGTTTTTGACCAGAGTTGAGGCAAGATCAGGCAACGAATCCCCATCAAGTGCTTGAAGTACACATCCGTACAACCTGTGTCCAAGATTAAATCAGATTATCACTCAATTATAATCATCTACCAATGATTTGTTGCGGAGAACCAGTGGATTTGAAATATTGGCCCGAGCTTCTCTGGCGACCCGTGGTTCACGTTCAAGGAAACAACAGCAAATGTCCTTCCATTGACTTTGTCCAATTCCTGCGCATTATACAAATGTCCTGTATATCATGTATTAATATGGGCCAGGGTCAGAATATCACAAAAACGCAACTCAATGGACCATTTGTACCTGGACACTACACCCACTTTGGAAGTCTTGACCGAAGTCTTGACCCCTCAAGGGGGCGCACCGGGCAAGCATAGCAGTTCCAAGTTGCTCGCGCTCTGTCCCATCTGTCCCCGTAACGCAGCACCAAAGCAATGCAATGCACAGTGCGCTGGGACGGAACGAACCAGGTCTTTTCGCAGAGCTTCCATGGAGGACAACCATTCAGCAGTGCAGTCTGCCAACAAATCACACCTTGATGCCATGGCATGGCATGGCCAATATCTGCACTGAAGGGTTTACCATGGTTTACCGGCAAGTAAAAAAGAGCAATATCAAAAAGATTCAAAGAGGTTTGAGATGAGATCTGTGAGATCTGTGAGATCTGTGAGATCTGTTTCATGTCGTCGAGGTACCCAAACCATTTTTCAACGTGACTTTTTTGCGTCTTCTGTCCCTAGGATCCCTAGGATCCCTAGGATCCCTACGCACCTCACTGAATCTGTCATACTGTGACTGTTTCCAGTGCCAGTGCCGTCAGTGCCACTATCCAGCGAACTTTCGCTGACCGCCAGCGCACCAATGGTCTCACTGGGAACGCTCGGCATGGCGTGGGAACGCCCGATCCGGTTACATCTTACATTCTAAGTTTGTCTCTTGATCCCTTCACTATTGACATGGCTATGGCTCAAAATTAGCTGGACTGCCAACTCAAAATGATCAGCATGCATTTATGTGTTTGAGCATCTGTTTGGTTGGGAAACAATACATAAGGACTGCTTCACTTGAAGCGTAAATCAAGTTAGTTGGCAAACACCGTGCCTGTAAGGAAAGTCATGGCTGCAACACTATGCAACACTCGAAATGGACAAGAACTTTGGTCCTCTTTGGGGTGGATTAAGCTATATTCCCAGCTCGTTAGTGCAACAACATCGTCACGTCCTTGTGGTGGCGCACTGGGCACCCGTGCCACGGGCGGCGCAGGGGCGATGTTGGGCGCTGCGAAGAACCGCTGCCTGTAGGGATAAGGATTATACTTCTACATACTTATACCATCTTAATTTAACGGCAAGGTTTATTTCCCAAACAATGGAATGGTCTACCCAAAAATTGGGATTGCTTTCTGGGTATAGAAACAATGATGTCCTGAAACCGTACAAAAACCTACGTTTGGACAGATTTGGTGGTATACGATCTACATCCGTTTATCATTTGCGTATTGGTTGTTCCAGGGAGGTTGCCCCTCCGTTCCTCCGTTACTCAACTAACCAGTGGGAAGATGTGCGGGCTTCATCGACTATTGGATTCTGACCCACCGTATCTATAGTTGGCCCGTACCAGTCTGCTGGATTCTGCCGGAGATGCTGGGTTTATTTGGGTTTTGAATTTTGAGCAACACATATTCATGGGGATTTAATCCAGAGGAATGGAGATACAAACAATGACCCTAGCAAATATAAATGCGCACAAAGTCCCTCTAAGAAGTTGCTGATGAAATCAAGGTTACTTGTAACTATATGAAGGTTTCCGATCCAGGGTGCCACTCAGCACCCGGGCGGTTGCGGATCCAATGTTTCCTGTAGCACTTGCAACGCTTCCTCATCCTCACACCTGGCAAAACTTGTGGAACGATGACCGGCAAACATGGGATCAAAAGGCGAAATTGGGCAGGGGCCATGGCATTTTCACACATTCCTTCTTCTTATAGTCTATAATGTTTTGGGGATGTAGAGTCCCAGATTTCATGGGGTTAACTGCAAGAGATTGAAATAGTGTATATATATATATATTACACTACATCTCTCTTTATATGTATGTACGTGTATGTATATAATATATTAATATATATTATGAATTATGATTCTGATCATTATTATTATATGAAATCATGTTCACTATACAAAGTTGACACCACGGTTGTACCTTCAAATGATACCACTCCCAAAACCACCAGTCACGCCTCCTAAGGAAACGCAAGGCCTGTTTCCGCTGCCTGCAGACCCGCTTTCCAATTCATGTTGTATGGACATGGACTTGAATGGTGTGTTTTGATATGTGTGGTGGTTCAGTAGTTCACCAAATGCACATAGCTAGCAGCTAGTGCCTATACCAAAACATGAAAAACATTGAAAAAAGGTAGTGGCGTGGACTCCGGACGTCTTCGGACACAACTCGGATCTGACATCTTGAACGACATTGATCTCGAAGCAGTTTCTTCCTGAACCTGAAATGAATACTCCCAGAGCTGGCCTGTACATCGTCTCAATCTGATGAGATAGCGAATTTTCCTGGACGGTCATATCGAAGTCATCCTTCCATCTTAAACGAACAAACAATGGTCAGAGACTGCTACTGGTGCCCCTCCATGTTAAATGCGATACGGCGATACCTTTCAAAGGTGATGTTAACCGTTCAAAAGGGATACGACGCTGTTCACGTTCAAACATCTTGGTAAAGACCGTCACTTTCTTTGGTTTCAGAGTTTCATGCATCGATCTTAGCCCTGAAAGGGAAATCCGGATTCGAGATATCATTTCTCAGCTATATGTCATCATGAGTTATACTAGTGTATATATATATATATATGTACATACATAATACAGTGTTCGGATATCTATATCTATATTATCTATATCTATATCTATCTATATATCTATATCTATATATCTATATATCTATATCTATATCATCTATATCTATATCTGTATCTATATCTGTATCTATATATATATATATATCTATCTATATATATATATATCTATCTATATATATATATATATATGCCCCAAAGTCGGATGTTTCCACCCAATGTCGGTGATTCATCCCCTGCCCTGTGCCTCAGGTGAAATGGCCCTGGATCCCGTGGAGCTGGGGATGGCTAGGCTATAGCTGTGAGGGGATCTATATAGCTATGTACTCCTCTAATATATGGTTATATAGCATTATATATATACCGTATGTATATATATATATATCATTATATATATATGATATATATCTATGATTATCTGTGTATGTCATTATAACATATCTATCCATCTAGCTATTTAATCAAACCATTTACCTATTTATCTACCTGCCTAGCTTATCTTTGCTCTTGCATTTTCAAATCTTGGCTTGCTATCTATCGACCTATCTGTCCAATCTATCTTTCTGCCTATCTATGAACCTATCTGTCTATCCATTTAATTCCATTTAATGTTTTGTCCATCAATCGATCAATCTATCAATCTAGCTATCTATCTAATGTGATTCTGTACATGTACAGTATATAATATCCGCCGACCCCGCTTGCAGCAGGGGGAGCGCGTCAGAGGAGGAATTACCAGCAGCAAGGGCCAAGAAGTCATTACAAGCAGCAAGGGCAAGAAGCAAGAAAACATGAAAGAAGAAGCAAGAAGCAAGAAGCAATTACAGGCAACAAGCGGCAAGAAGCAAGAAACAAGAAGCCAGGAAGCAACAAGCGGCTGGAAGACAGGTCAGAGAAGTCATTACAAACAGCAAGGGCAAGAAGCAAGAAAACAAGAAAGAAGAAGCAAGAAGCAAGAAGCAATTACAGGCAACAAGCGGCAAGAAGCAAGAAACAAGAAGCCAGGAAGCAACAAGCGGCTGGAAGACAGGTCAGAGAAGCAAGAAACAAGAAGCCAGGAAGCAACAAGCGGCTGGAAGACAGGTCAGAGAGCTAGTCTTCTTGTCGATTCAGAAAGCAACGTTAGGCAGTGGGAGCCGTTGCCCGGAGGCTCGGTCCGTCCTTCAGGGCCCTGCTGTTTTGCTGTGGCGAGGGCGCCGTTTCTGAACCTTGACGGCTGGAAGAGAGCTAGTTTTCTTGCAGGTTCAGAAAGCAACGTTAGGCAGTGGGAGCCGTTGCCCGGAGGCTCGGTCCGTCCTTCAGGGCCCTGCTGTTTTGCTGTGGCGAGGGCGCCGTTTGTGAGCCTTGACGGCTGGAAGAGAGCTAGTTTGGGAGCCGTTGCCCGGAGGCTCGGTCCGTCCTTCAGGGCCCTGCTGTTTTGCTGTGGCGAGGGCGCCGTTTGTGAGCCTTGACGGCTGGAAGAGAGCTAGTTTTCTTGTAGGTTCAGAAAGCAACGTTAGGCAGTGGGAGCCGTTGCCCGGAGGCTCGGTCCGTCCTTCAGGGCCCTGCTGTTTTGCTGTGGCGAGGGCGCCGTTTGTAAACCTTGACGGCTGGAAGAGAGCTAGTTTGGGAGCCGTTGCCCGGAGGCTCGGTCCGTCCTTCAGGGCCCTGCTGTTTTGCTGTGGCGAGGGCGCCGTTTGTGAGCCTTGACAGCTGGAAGAAAGCTAGTTTTCTTGCAGGTTCAGAAAGCAACGTTAGGCAGTGGGAGCCGTTGCCCGGAGGCTCGGTCCGTCCTTCAGGGCCCTGCTGTTTTGCTGTGGCGAGGGCATCGTTTGTGAGCCTTGACGGCTGGAAGAGAGCTAGTTTTCTTGTAGGTTCAGAAAGCAACGTTAGGCAGTGGGAGCCGTTGCCCGGAGGCTCGGTCCGTCCTTCAGGGCCCTGCTGTTTTGCTGTGGCGAGGGCGCCGTTTGTGAACCTTGACGGCTGGAAGAGAGCTAGTTTGGGAGCCGTTGCCCGGAGGCTCGGTCCGTCCTTCAGGGCCCTGCTGTTTTGCTGTGGCGATGGCGCCGTTTTGTTTGTTGAGCATGACAGTGGAAAGGGAGAAAGGAAAGCTAGTTTTCTTGCAGGTTCAGGAAGCAGCAACGTTAGGCGTCGAAGCCGTTGACCGGGAAGGCCTCGGTCCGTCCTTCAGGGCCCTGCTGTTTGGGCTGTGGCCGAGGGCGTTGTTGTGAGCCTTGACGGATGGAAGAGAGATTAGCTATAGTTTCTTGTAGGTTCAAAAAGCAACGTAGGACTGGGAGCCGTTGCCCGGAGGCGCGGTCCGTCCTTCAGGGCCCTGCTGTTTTGCCGTGGCGGAGGCGCCGTTTGTGAGCCTTGACGGCTGGAAGAGAGCTAGTTTGGGAGCCGTTGCCCGGAGGCTCGGTCCGTCCTTCAGGGCCCTGCTGTTTTGCTGTGGCGAGGGCGCCGTTTGTGAGACTTGACGGCTGGAAGAGAGCTAGTTTTCTTGTAGGTTCAGAAAGCAACGTTAGGCAGTGGGAGCCGTTGCCCGGAGGCTCGGTCCGTCCTTCAGGGCCCTGCTGGTTTGCTGGGGCGAGGGCGCCGTTTGTGAGCCTTGACGGCTGGAAGAGAGCTAGTTTGGGAGCCGTTGCCCGGAGGCTCGGTCCGTCCTTCAGGGCCCTGCTGTTTTGCTGTGGCGAGGGCGCCGTTTGTGAGCCTTGACGGCTGGAAGAGAGCTAGTTTTCTTGTAGGTTCAGAAAGCAACGTTAGGCAGTGGGAGCCGTTGCCCGGAGGCTCGGTCCGTCCTTCAGGGCCCTGCTGTTTTGCTGTGGCGAGGGCGCCGTTTGTGAACTCGGTCCGTCCTTCAGGGCCCTGCTTTTTTGCTGTGGCGAGGGCGTCGTTTGTGAGCCTTGACGGCTGGAAGAGAGCTATAGCTATAGTTTTCTTGTAGGTTCAGAAAGCAACGTTAGGCACTGGGGGCCGTTGCCCGGAGGCTCGGTCCGCCCTTCAGGGCCCTGCTGTTTTGCTGTGGCGAGGGCGCCGTTTGTGAACCTTGACGGCTGGAAGAGAGCTAGTTTGGGAGCCGTTGCCCGGAGGCTCGGTCCGTCCTTCAGGGCCCTGCTGTTTTGCTGTGGCGAGGGCGCCGTTTGTGAGCCTTGACAGCTGGAAGAAAGCTAGTTTTCTTGCAGGTTCAGAAAGCAACGTTAGGCAGTGGGAGCCGTTGCCCGGAGGCTCGGTCCGTCCTTCAGGGCCCTGCTGTTTTGCTGTGGCGAGGGCGTCGTTTGTGAGCCTTGACAGCTGGAAGAGAGCTATAGCTATAGTTTTCTTGTAGGTTCAGAAAGCAACGTTAGGCACTGGGGGCCGTTGCCCGGAGGGAAGTTTATTTGGGAATTTTATTTGGGTGTATATCAGCAACCAAATCCTTAGGCCCACCTGGGCTTGAGCTAACTGGCTAACTGGATAAAAGAAGGAAAATCAGCATTTTTAATAGGTAAAACTGTGATTCTATGGTTAATATATATATATATATCCGCCGACCCCAGCCATCTGCAGGGGGAGCGCGTCCGAGAAAAAGTGGTTTTGCGGCGCCTTGTGGTTGTTGTCGTTGTGCTTGTGCTTGTGCTTGCCGTTGTTGTGGTTGTCGTTGTTCTTGTTGTTGTGGTTGTTGTTGCTGTTGTTGTTCTTGTTCTTGTTCTTGTTCTTGCTCTTGTCGTTGTTGCTCCTCTTCTTTTTCTTGTTGCTGTTGTTTGTTGTTCTTGGCCTTGTTCTTGTTGTTGTTGATCTTTTTCTTCTTGTTGTAGTTTTGGATTTGGTTTTCGTTTTGGTTTATGGTTGTTGTTGTTGTTGTTTTGTTGTTGTTGTTGTTCTTCTTGTTGTTGCTGCTGCTGCTGTTGTTGTTCTCCTCCTCCCTTTCCAACCCTGCGACCTCCAAAGCTGATCTGCTGATCCCCCGGAACGCACCAGCGCCCAGGGTCTCCGTACCCCCGAAGGCCAAGGCCCCAGAAAGCACGTGCAGATCCGCTTCGGACATCGCTGGGTCAGAAGAGAAATACACACATACATTTCCAACACAAGAACAGGTCACCACTAAACCTTTCTTCTTACGTTCCAGGCCCCTAGACCAGGGGTCGGCGGCAGGGGGCGTAGCCCCTTTATATGTGTATATCTAATACGTATATAGACATACATGTAGACACGTAGACATACATTTTTCACATATGTATTGTATGATATTGTATCATATTGTACTTAATATGTGTACATTGTAGACATTGGTATGTGACCTCCCCAGCTGCCTGGCATAGATATGCCCACTTCTTGGAGATACGGGTGGCCTGGCTGGGGTTCACCCTCTCCGTGCAGAAAACGATTCAAAGTCTTCACAGTCCTGGTAATCCGGTGGGAAATCCACGAAGTTCTACAACCAAAAAACCATGTCGATTGCAGCCACTCTCCGGGAATTTGTCAGATTCCACCTGCCACCAGGCTGGTCAGAGATTGGCTCAACCTGAGGCTTGCAGGACATGGGGGCTGACGATACCGATGCCCATAAAATGGGGGAGGCGAGATGGGTATTTCTAGTTGCCTATCGTTGTTGGAAATATGATAAAACTGGGATGTTCAATGAACATGTCTTCTAAAACCGGTGCAACATGAAAATTGGAACTGATTGTCGTCAAAACACATGTCATGGAGGACGGACAGCTCGTTAACACAGCTCTACACCAACATCTTGGATTCTGCCAGTCCAATGCTGAGGTTGGCTTTGATTCTCTGGCGGAAATGGCGGAAATGATCGTTTTTCATGCGACACCAAAATGAATAGAATAGAAGGACTATGCTTGGATCTTTATCTACCCAGCCTTTTTGAGCATTGAGACCTCAATTAATTCTCTTCCGCCTCGATGATGCCTAGCTAGTTCTGGTTGACAATAGTAATCAGCGCATGATACCGTACACTGATACCTTTAATAACAAACAAAACAACTTAATCAATTGGTCAACTTAATTAACCAATCACTTCGTTGGTCAACAATACACATTATACTTACATACTACTACAGATATGTACATATATATATATATATATGTGTGTATGGGTATATATATATTATATATATGTGTATGGGTATATATATATATTATATTTACACATACATTGTATATTAAACAATAGTATTCGTATATTGTCTGTCTATTGCATGTGTATACACACCCTAGCTACCGCGACCGCTTACCTACGACCGGTATCATCCCGGCACCTCTGAAGCTGGCAGCGATACCATGGCCCGATGCAGCTTACAATCCGCGATCTCCAGGTAAGTCCAACACACACATTATGGCTTTTGGCTGCAAATGGGGGATACTTCAAAAGGGTTGCCAACATATCAACCATTGGATATTGAATGATATTAAAGTATCCCAACTTCAAACAAAACCACATCAAACCATCATCTTTGTAGATCCCCTGTACTGGCAAAACATGGACTTTTTTTCCATCGTCCCACAAACCCAGTTTCTCAGGGTGACAAATTGTTTGCCTGTCAGACTTAGCGCAATTTTTTTGTTGCCGTTCAAACTCAAATTATCAGGCAACACCTGCCTCGGTCAGAATCAAACCAATCTTGAAACCCAAGGTGATGACAACTACAATAACGATCAACATCTTCAAAGTCGTCAAATGGTTTGGAGATTCAACATCTAGAGTATTTACTAGCACCCCTGCTCTATTCTTTGTGAAACCTGTGAGCCGAATTGGCCTCCGCACTTGGCTGCCGGGAAGATAGTGGGCCTCCAAAGCCCACTAAGGACCCACGGATTCTCCTCGGCATGGCCGACAGCGCGCTGTGTCTTTTCCAAGGAGTTTCGCCATGTCTGGTGGGTCAAAAATCGTTTACCAACATTTACCAACACTTAGCCACTGGTGATGTGGAAGATCTCCACACATTTTGACCCATCATTTGAACAGAAGTGGATGCCTTTGGCATAGGCGTCGTAAGTCGGACACCCCATGGCACCATGGGTTCCGCCCTTAAAAGGGCAGCGACTTCTGTACCACATTGAAAGAAGTGGCAGGAGCTGGCCAGAAAACGAGGTGACCAGAAACGAGCCGGCACTATGGGTCAAGAACCCAAAAATGTGGTCAAAATTCACAATAGTCCAAATAACGAAACTGTCTCAAAATAATCTTGGTGTTTTCGTCTCTGTCAAAAGGGGGATATCCCAACCATTGTTTTCCCATGACCTGAAATTAACCATCAAATGCTAAATGACTTGAAGTTCTCCCACATTTGAAGCATCTCATCTCAGTAACCACAGACCAAACATGTCTTACATTCAGATTCTCACCTGACCTGACATGACCTGCGCAAAACCTGTGTCTCTGGAGGTTCCTCGTCTTCAGCCAAATTAGGGACGATCTACTACGGCATTCACAGCTCCCGCATGCTACCGCGGTTTCACCCTCCTGGGACTCCAGCTCCTCTGCCGGTGAATTTGACGCGGTCCATGGTGTTCGTGTGTGGGATTTGGGTTGAGGTGTTTTTGTGATATATAATGTGATATATATATATACCGTTATATACCTATGATAACACAAAATTTCAGAATGACATTTAGGCAGTACACGTAACAATAGTTGGTTGTACACGTACAAATCCACAAAACCTTTCGTTTTGAGTGAAACATATTGAATAACCACACTACCGAGTCTCCAATGCTGTGGAATCTGCCCAGCAACTCCTCATCCACTGCATCGAGGCGACGGCCCTCCTAGGTTTCGCACGGGCTGGTGGTTGGTGTCATTGTCGTTTTCAACGAATTCTCATGACTGTTGGCATCCTGGGAATCATCATTCCTGCTGTGGTGGTTGCTGGTCTTGTTCCCCTATTGTCTTGCTGGCTTGTTGTCTTTTCTCTCTACTTTTGGTGGTATCAACAGGATTATTTCAATTATGTATGTTCCTTCTTGCAGTTTGTGTTGTTGGTAAAATTCTTCAAGCTTCCACTTGTGTGAAATTGTTGAAATATGTTGAACTTGCTGCAGCTGTTGAAGTTTTTGAAGTCGCACAGTTGAAGTTGTTCGGTTGTTGAAGTATGGAAGTGGTTGAAGTTTCTGAAGTTGGTGATTGAAGAACGAGACTAAAGCAATTGGAGGAGGCAAGAAAGGCAGGGAGGAAAACGGTGCAGGCGCAGCAAGCCAGGCGAGATGCGTTTCTCTGATGATTCGGGGCTAATGTTGAAGCTACGTTTTGTGATGCCACCAAAGTATAGAATATTCTATTCTGGTATATGATGTACATTGTATATATCATATTATGATGTACTGTATATTTACGTACATATACATACATATACATATACGTAAATTATATATAAATATATTGTCATATATTGTATCCTATTGTATTATAATATCAGTTCATATTATATTAATACAATATCAATTGTTCAATCCTCTGATTTATTTATATATATATATATATGTAATGATATGTGTATACTATGCGATAAGGCACAACCAAATACATTCATACATACATACATACATTACATTGCATTGCATTGCATTGCATTGCGTTACATTACATTACATACATACATTTGACGCATATATATATATAGATAATGTATATATGCATGTAAATATAACTATGTGTTAGTCCATATTACAATCCCAGTATTCCCACGTGCAATATATATATATGTATGTATATAATATATATAATTATATATATATATATCTATTTATTAATTGATGTATACAAATAATGGCACCAGTATCATGTCACATTACATATCATTATTACATATAATAATCATATTTATATAAACTATTAACAATCATAGCAACAATTTCATAAATAGTACTAGTAGCGATAAATAGTAACACTATGTCACTATGATTTTAATATTACTATAATGCTAATAATGCTATGGGAATATCATAATGACTATTATATAGCACAAAACAACATACAATACATGTGTACATATATATACAGTATATATATATAAACAACCATATATCTTGTCATAATAGTAGTAATCGTAATAATTGGAAGTATCCCAAAAATGGGGGGTATCCCAAAAAATCATCCAACTTTGAATAGTTTTCGGATTTTCCATATATCAACCATTTATAAACACCATCCAGATCCATCCAGCGACATTTTGGGGTACCCCCATGGCTATGGAACCCCCACTCCACCAGGTCAAGGTGCCGGTCGTTCTCCTCATCTTCCGAGGAGTCGGTTTGCTCGCTGAGACCGCTGATACCTCGACCGTGGGGCGACACCAGCCTTGGGCAACGGCAATGGAGGTTGAACCGTTGAAGCCTCGAAAAGCTAAGGACTAAGCATGAAAAATGATGAAAAATGGAGAACTAACCAGAGAACTTGGAGGTTTTGCCAACAAAAATTGGTTTCCCCAGCCAAAATAGGGTTAAGCATCGAAAACGATGGTGTAATTTCACAAATGGGGCATACTAACATACCACGAAAATAGAAAAGGTTGAATTTACCACCAATATTTGGATTTGGATTTTAGTTGGGGTCGCTAAAAAACAAGTAACAGCTGGGGACTAGAGTTGATTTCGAAATTGTTGAATGCAGAACTTCTTGAGACTAGAGATTATTATATATACTTGATCTATCTTGATCTGTTAAACGCTGAACGATTGGGATGGGAAATGACTGAAGAAAGACAGATGGAGATTTGCCCAATAAAGCAGGCATTCACTAGTCAATTAGCTATTAGTATTGCAATTGGTCTTTGGACAAGTCCACTTGCATTCCCATGACACTTTACAACTCAAACATGGCAAGCCACAAGATTATATGATACATCCAATTCAATCCCATACATCTTCTCCAAGTCCAAAAGAAAGTGACGCCCCACACTTTGGGAGAAACAGCACAGCCTGCCCCATCTGTCCTTTCACCGAAAACAGTCAAGTAAGGGCCAACTTATCCAGTACCCAAGACATACCCAAAAATCTGAAGGTGTTCAGTCACCGACTATGTTGTGGCACCATAGTGGCACCCGTCCATTAGCCATCCGCAAGAGGAATTCCGAGTGGCTTATTGCATCGATCCGCGGCTTCAATGGTCAGCGATGCAGCTTTCCTCAGAACAGCCGTTGGGATCGAGGCCTTCAGGGCTGGAGAAAGTTTCCCACTACCCACTATCAATATTCATCAAAGTTCCAAAAGCACCGGAGTCAATTTGGTAAAACCTTCCACATGCAGAGGATTCAGAGGATCAGTTCTTCTTGAATTGTTGGGGGGACAAGGTCCTCGCATCAGAATTTCAATGGAATACAATAAACATCTGAACACATCATCCGTAGTGATCAAATGATCGAGGCATTCCTGATTGTGAGTCCCAAAAACATCAAAAAACCCACAAATCCATGTCCCGTGTAAAAACACCGAAACACTTTCCCACACCACAACAAACCAAGACACTCAGCAGTCCTGGGCAGGCGGATTGTAGGTATTGTGGGTATTGTGGGTTCAACAGCTACCTTAGTACTTAAAGACTTAGCCATACACTTCCCAATTGTCGATTCCAAAACCATCGATCGACTCGGGATCGTCCGGATCAGACAGGGCGCTGTGTCAGGGAAGGCTTCATCTTCATGAGCATTTGTTCCATGTCCTGGAGAGCGAAGTTCCTGCCTGTTTCCTCATGGCATCTTTTAGACAACTGTCGGGGGTCTTAACTGCTCGATCAAAATTGGATCATCAATGATAATTGTTGAATATGGAGTCCACACAACTCTAGAAACGAGCGCAAGGAGTTTCAGTGATTTTCAGTCCCTCCCAAAAACGTCACTCTTGGGTCACCGGAGTCACCGGTCCTTCATGGCTTCTTCGGCCAATTCCTCTCTTTCCACCATGTCATCTTTTAAGACCTGAGTCGACCAGGATATACCAGGATATTATATCATATTATATAATCATGTATAGTCTATTAATATAAAACAATCTATAATACCCAACAAAAAACACGGAACAGAAATTCCACACTATATCTTAATGGTAATTTACATTTCTACTTTTTTTTAGGCGTTAGTATATAATGTCTGACTAGAGATGTGCATTAATTAATTATGTGGTGATACCATGCGATACCAATGTAGAGTATTTGGTTAGATCAAAATAATATATATATATATGTATCAAAATCATGAATGATTGAGTTTAAACTAATCAAACATATAATATAATACAATCCACCTTGAATATGTAGTGGATGACATTTGGTTACTATCATGTGATGGAACCAACCGTACAGTTGGATTCAACAAGCACTTCGGATAGTACCTGGTGAACAACATCACCCCGCACCACAGCATCACATGCCAACGTGGGTGTGATCCAAGTTGATCCAAGGGACATCCCAGAAGCAAAAGAGGCAAACCTGCAAAGGGCATGGCGGGAGTGGCAAGAAAAAACACAATTGGGTGATGTGGGACGGAAAGCATGTACCTCCCAAAGAAACTCATTGGGACTCATGGTTGTAAGTTTCCCCGGTGATTTCTTTTTTAAAGGCATCTTTCAAGAGAATTCACATCATAGTGCAATAGTGGAAACAAAGCTGACCAAGGATTGAGTTCTGAAGCCATCCATATGTCACCGCACGAATTCCAGGAGTTGAGCCTGGTTTCGTTTAAACATAACCATCAAATGGATTCAAATGGTGGAAGATACGGTGAGAAGATACTGTGACAGCGTCATAGCAGGGACATTGCTCCAATGTCTAGCAGGATCTAGCAGCTAGCAGGCATGCTATCCTTTGACTGAAAGGTTTCGAGAAAAACATCGTTGATTTTACAGCAGAGATATCTCACTTTTGTACTCGCATAGCAAATGAGGTGCAACAAATCAACATTCACAATTCTCAAACATGTCGCTGATTTCTAGGGTGGTTTGATCATTCAATCTTACCCATCTACAACATCCTATAACATCCTATAACATACTATAACATCCTGAAACTCCACCGGCAAAACGACTGAACTCCGGGGCTTGATCTTAAAGCATGCCGGGAAGCCGCGATGAGAATCACGGTGATCAACACTTCGCCTCGGGGTTTTTAACCAAGTCAGGGCAGAAATTATGGCATATCCCAACTAGTTTGGGATGATATAATGGCTATATATGATGGGGATACCTTCTGGGTAACCAACTTTTTCAATGATATCGTGGGATAAAATGGAGATACAACCCATTCTCATGAGAGAAAACATGGGATAGAATTATATATATAATAACCAACAATATAGATAATATATAGAGTATTTGGGTTTGTCCAGAAATGGGGTACATATAAGTACATATATATATGTACATATAATTTGTTCCCATTTCCGGCAAGTGTATGCAATGTTGATTGCAACGTGACGCTAAACCATGAGATTTTGGGGTACTTTTTTCGCACAAACTCATATTTGATCATAATTGCACACGTGACAAGGACTCCTACAAGTTCTCAGGCCCAAGAAACCATCCCCATCATGAACTCCTATGAATTCCTGTGATTTCCGCAGGTTTTCTCCCCCGAACCTACCAAGATCGACCTCATTTCCTCATTTCACCAAGCGACACATGACGCCCTCAGGGCTCCCCTCGGTGCAGCGGTGGCAGTGGTGGGTCCTTTTACCATCACAGAATCTTTGAGGATCTTTAAAAACACACAAACTGATAAACTGTCCAACTCACACAAACCCAGCACCCCTTCTCTCTCCATGTCCAGCAAACAATAGCAAACACAGCCACTCTCCCAGCTTCAACCGTCCAAGACACAAACCAGTTTTCACCGTTGCGGGCGTAGATGCCCCACTGCTGCCAGTAGGGTTCGCAAACCTCTCTGGTGTGGTTCCCGACCTGATGCCAAGGTTGGAGAGAAGATGATGGTCCTGGTGGAAAAAATGGGGCCAATACCTGTACCATCCTGTACCCGTCTACTCCTTGGATTCATCGTGACATGGACAATCACGTGCCAAGATGCCATGACAAAGTGAGATCATTCAAGATCATTCAAGATCCATCAATCCTCCAAAATCTCAAAATGGAATCATTGGTGCAGCCTTTTTGGCAGCCTCCTTTAAGACTGGTGGGACCTTCTATTCCACCGACCCATTCGCACCTGAGCGCTGAAGATCTCTCGGATGACCGCACCTTTCTTTATTTCGAGGTTTGACCTCATGGACCGCCATGGCATGCATCATGGGCTACTTAAGCACCTAACGCCTTTGACATGTTGTACAGGATTGTTTCCATCAACCGTAGCCTTCATGAGGATTGTGTGCACACCGGCCATATTTAGCTTCGATATGTGGGCTCCAGATCCATCTTCTAGGCATATGGCATGCATGGATAGAGCGAAATTGTGGGTAGGAGATCTCTACAACACCTGAAACAGGGATGAAACAGGACAACGGCCCCGACTTATAGGCCCTTCTACAACGAGGCCAAGTCACCGAAATCATCAGTTTTTGAGTTCTCTTATTGCGTCAAAATCATTGTTTTCATGGATGGTTTCATCTTTCTAGTTCGAGTGATGTCCTCTAAAAGGTTTGCAATCAAGTCAATGGCCAGTGCCCTTCAAAAACATCAAAATCCCTGGCCCGCATGGATGTGTCTCAAAATGGTGATGCCACAATTTATGCAAATTTCATGGGAAAAAATGGTGATGAACCATGGGATTGGTTTGAAAATTTCCCCTGAAATATTCAGACCGCATAGGCCAAGACGCATGCAGTCATGCCCTATCCGCAGAAAGGTATGAAAGCATCCGCAGCGTGTGATGATCTCTGTCCTGGTCAGGATGTGATTCAGAGTTGAAGGCATCGAACCAACGATGTTCACATCAAATCCAGGGCATATGGCAATATCAGTGCAATATCATTCTTGGAGCACCACAAGCTGCCAGGCTACTCTAGGACAAGACTGAGTTGCTGGTGATTTGTGAAGCTGGACAATTTGGGCAGGTGCAAGAGCCAAGTGACGACCTGCAAGAAGTCACTCCAACAACTCGAACTGGGATCATCTGTGCTAGAACAGGTGGCGCGAAATCTTTTTTCAAGACAAAACGAAACCAAATCATTTCGCCCATTCCCATATTTCACGTAAATTGATTTATACCTAAATATTGTGCATCTATGTATAGCAATATATATATATATACATATACATACCATGTGCAGTATATTTATATAATCAACATGGCCATGTGGCTGGACTTTCTCCCCCAAATCATGAAACGCTCCTTTCATCCAGGGGGTGTGTGGCCAAGCACCTGGGAAGACCAAGGGAACAGCTGCCCGAGGGAACAGCTGGGGAAAACCCCAGGGGGTTAGAATTGAATATGTAGGGGTCCCCAGAAAAGATCGAGGTCACGCTTTTCAGGATGTTATTATTATAATAATTGTAAGAATTGTAGATCAGGGCTTCCCCATAATTTCCAGGCTTCCAAGTTTTCTATCTGGGGTTGCTATAATCGGATAGAAATATAGCAACGCTCCACAAATGTGTGGGATACAGCATCCCAGCTATGGCTTGGTCAACTGGGTATGGCTTGATATATGCATATTTTAAATTAAAGATGTTATATGTTGTATATTGATACAATATATATGGCTTGATATATTGTATCTTGTTTTAAATATATATTGTATCAGCCATGGCCAAGTACAGGGCTAGAGAGCTGGAAAAGTCGCTTCCAAGTGGCTGGAAAAGCTGAGCTGTCGCATGAGACACCTGCAGCAAATTCAAGTGATTAAAATCATGACATGCTGCGCTGCTGTCCACACGATTGCACTCTCTTGTTGAACGCATTTCAGATGCAACAACCGCTATCTGTTATATGTCACATTGGGATGGCAACATCACAGTTCGGAGTTGAGCATGCTTCATGTTACTTTCTTGATTAGTTTGAACAGCTTCCCCAAGATTGGAATTCATAGCACTTCTTGCCAAAGACTTATGAGAGGCACACAAAGGTGATGTCCATGCAACATGGCATCGATTCCATGCCAACTCAACCATGCAGAGAAACTGTGTGGTCGCAGTTCGTACAGTGTCAGTTGTACATAGTCATACAGGCTATAACTGATCAATGGACTATCTTGAAAAATAGAGACATTGCCTTGTGCAAACCATTGCGTGGCTGGAAGGTCTTTCCACAACTTGGTATCATCCACCTTCCCTTCCACGCATATCTAACCTGTTGCCTACAAAGTGTGCACTCCCGTCCATCGTGATCCAAACGTTCCCAAAAGGGCACGGTACGGTATGGCTGAAACGCATAACTCTTGTACCCTTCTGTTCATCCCAAGCTAGCTGGTTCTGCTTGTTGATCCATTAGTGATCCTCAAATCATCGAGTTCTGCTCACCTTGGTCTTGCACGAGCGCAGCACATCATCTTGACCTTGCGGAAGTCCCAAATGGTGGCAGATGGCGGATGTCCCGGAAGTGGATGAAACAAATCCCTGAATCATGAGATATCATGAGTAATTACAATAGTTAAGTGTTGTGGAGTGGAACTCCGCATGCATACCCCATACTCAGATTCGGTCTGCTTTGGATCAGTTTACTGTATATGGGAGGAAAGCAAGTGATTTCGATGTTTGATAAATGGATGAAAAGAATTGACAAGACGGATTTTGACAATTTGAGTAAGACACACCACACCCGTTTGAACGGAGAGCACCTTCATGATCCTATTCATGTTTGGTGAGGCATCGCATTTGGGCCCAGCTTGGCTACAATTCAAGCAGATGCCGTAGGTCATCCGCAGAAGTTTCAGTTTGAGGTTTCATCCCACCTATCAGAATCATTCAGAATCCATAAAATAATCAAGTAGGTATCAAGTAGGTATCAACTATATAGGTATCAAGTTTCATCATCATCTCACTCTTGTGACGAAGCCACTCTCTTGAATGGACGCTGGAAGCGGTTGGGTCTCCACCGAAGCCAACGCTGGGGTGGTCGCCATGGGCGTAAAATTGGGCGATTCAACAATCGTGAGATCCCTGTTGAATCTTCCAACTGAGATTGTATAATTATGAGATCCCTTTGATGATTGTTGATGATTGTATTTCCATTGAAGAATTCTGAGACACCAATCATCAAACTGGAAATATCTGGAAATACATACTGCACATGGTTGGAATTTGAACATTCCATGACTTTCTATTCTTGACCTTAAATTCATGCTGGTCACTGTATGGGCTGTAAGTTACCAAAAGTCACTGCTCAATTGGAGGACCGTGGCAGTGGGTTTCATGAGACCGCCCAAGACCGCCAAGCTGAAATGTTGTGCATTGAGCCGGTCGTCGGGGCAATGGAATCTTTGGGTCAAAACTTGATACCACAAGAGACCTGAGAGCTCATCATGCTCTGATTTACCCATCATACTGTCACACATGAAAATAGGACCAAACCATCTTCTCCCACCCATATCAGTATGGTATTTCTTTTCAAGCGCTAGCAGCTAGCACACCCAGTTGAAACCACAGTGTCTCAGTGTCTCCATTTGCGGGTAGGCCTGGTGATTCATCCCAAAGGATCCCATGTGCCAAAGTTGGTGTGCCCTGACCAACTATTGTGTGGTCGTTCATCAGCCTGTCTCAAGATTCTTCAGACCCCACATGATCTCCAGCTCAATTCTTTGGAAGGCAGGAGGTCCCCAAATGCCACCCTCTTTCGAAAGTTTCTTGGGGAAATGATGCTTCCCAACGAGATGACCATGGATTTTGGAGCCCCGAGCTGCCACCCTTTTGCAGCACAGGCAGTCTGCTCAAAGCAGTAGAACTTGTGGCCATCAGCACCGGTGGCAGCGGCCCAACCTGTGACGGATCTCGTTTCTAAAGGGAGTACAGGCTGATGCTGCTACCTTTTTTAACCAAAACTTTACGGATTCAATTCTTATTGAGTGTTTCTTCGCTCCCTGAGAATGGTGGGTACATGCGGGTGCACCTGTAGCCTGTAATCTTGCCACTCTCAGTTTATGCCAGTTCATGTTTTTTTCGTCCCGTCCTGCCCCCTCCCCCTTTGAAGATAGTGTTCTATATGCGAATTTTCTGCTGACCACAAGCATTCTCTCCATTCTAGAATGTCCTGTCTGCTACCTTCGCGGCTGAAACGATAATCTTTTGTTGCCTGTAATCTTGCCACTCTCAGTTTATGCCAGTTCATGTTTTTTTCGTCCCGTCCTGCCCCCTCCCCCTTCGAAGATAGTCTTCTATATGCGAATTTTCTGCTGACCACAAGCATTCTCTCCATTCTAGAATGTCCCGTCTGCTACCTTCGCGGCTGAAACTATAATCTTTTGTTGCCGAGCCCTGGCTCAAAATTTGTCAATGTTCATGGAAAAAGTGAATTTCTATCCGCAAACCAATAGTACTAAATCAATCCAGCTTTGATCACCGTAACTGGATGCAACTACGAGTAGCATATTGCCGCCCCCCTTTCACAGGTCATAGATGTCATAGGCCCACTAGGGCCCCAGTGCCACCAGTGGATGCTTCCCACCTGCTGACTCTTCACCGCGGCATCGGAGATGGCCAGGTACTGTACGATTTGCAGTCAAGGCTGATGTGCAGAGCCAAAACACGCTTTGCCAACTGCCTGGCAGATTTCCAAATGTCAGGATCACTGTCATTGTTCCATGGACAACGCCTCCAGGAAGACCAGAAATCACGTGCCCACCACCCTGACCCGCAATTGGAAGGATCCAAATGTATTACAAATCAATACTTGTGGTGAGACCCTCATTTACACATCTAGTTATGGACCAAACTGTCAAATCATCCATGAACATGGGTGAACATCTCAACAACGAAGAGGGATTTTGACAACCCCAGCCGTTTGGATCACATCTACTACTGTATATCGCTGTCTCAGCATCTGGCATCTGGATGGATATTCTTTGGCCTGCAACATGTGGCAATGTGCCGGTGCCTTCACCCGCCAGCTGCTAACCCAACTCACCGCCATACAGGTACTTCTCCTGGCAACTGCCAAGATGAACATCCGGAAAGTTCCGGGAGGTCGTGGTGCAGGTTATCCTAGATCGCCCTTGGGGACACCACGGAAGCTTATTTTTCCCGAATGCGTAGCAAGGGTTCCCGTTTCACTCTGGGGGTCCGGGGGTTGAGGGTGTGTTCGCTCGACGTTGCCCAACCGTCCGCAACCGTTCGCAACCGTCGCAACCGTTCGCAACCGTCCGCGCAAGCCCCTTATGGCTGTGCCAAGTTCTGCAAAAGGGGTGATTTTTGGAGGTGTCAAACGTCACGTTGCTTCATCATTTCGCGTGGCAGGCGTGGCACTTCGTGACATTCAGACGTGTTTTGTAACGTGTCGAAAGTCGTTTTAACTATTGCGACGTTTTCGTAAGCTGAGTTGCAGTTTTCTTGGCAGGCGCGGCACTTTGGACGTGTCCATCGTCATTTTGCGTGGAAGGCGCAGCACTTTAGATGCGTCGTGTTGCGTGTTTTTTGTGAATCGCATTGTCAGGGCTGCGTCAAGTGGCGACAAGGTGCAAATTCCGTAGCAGGCGTGGCATTTTGTGAGATGTGCTGAAAATTGACGGAAGCCTCGCACAAAACAAAGATTTTGGGGTTGCAAAATTTCAAGTTCTAAGGAAAACTCGTAGGAAAACATCGATTTTGAAGCTACGCGCAGTGTTAAAATTGGAGGAAGTCTCGAACGAAATGCTCGTTTTGCTGTGCCCACGTGTCTCGTCTCGAGTCTCTTGTTTTCCTCTGGCCTCGCCGTGTCTATGGGGGAAGCTGCAAAACCTCTCCTGTTCGAAGGTTTCCAAGCAGGTTGTCATGTCGTTTTGCGTGGCAGGCGCGACACTTTGTGACATTCCAACCTGTTTGATAACGTGTCAAAAGTATTCCAAAGTCGTTTTGTGGGGCAGGCGTGCTACTTTTGCGTCGTTTTCACAAGATGAGTTGCAGTTTTCGTGGCAGGCGCAGCATTTTGGAGATCTCTGTCGTCATTTTGCGCGGCAGGCGCAGCACTTCAGATGTGTCGCATTGCGTGCTCTACACTCTACACTCCACACTCCACCCTTTACACTTCACACTCCACACTTTACATTCCACACTTTACACTCTACACTTTACACTGTATATACACTCCACACTCTACACTTTACACTCTACACTCGACACTTTTCACTGCACACTCTACACTTTACACTCTACACTCCACACTGGACACTCCACACTTTACTCTGCACTGTACACTCCACACTTTACACTCCACACTGTACACTCCACACTTTACTCTGCACTGTACACTCCACACTTTGCACTTTACACTCCACACTTCACACTCCACACTTTACACTCCACACTTTACACTCCACACTTCACACTCCACACTCCACACTGTACCTTCCACACTCTACACTCTACATTCTACACTTTACACTCTACACTTTACGCTCCACACTCTACACTTTACACTACACTTGCACTCCACACTTCACATTCCACACTCTACACTGTACACTCCACACTCTACACTTTACACTCTATATACACTTTACACTCCACACTTTAGACTCCACACTTTACACTCCACACTTTTTACTTTACACTCTACACTTTACACTCCATACTCCATACTCTACACTCCACACTCTACATTCCACACTCCGCACTTCACACTCCGCACTCCACACTTTACACTTCACGCTTTACACTTGACACTTTACACTCCACACTCTACACTTTATACTTTACACTCCACACTTCACAGTTTACACGTTGCACTTCACACTCTATACTTTTCACTCCACACTCTACATTCTTTCACGTCTATGAGAGTCTATGATGTTTGCCTATCTACGCGTTTCGGAATCCGTGCCATTATCATACGTGTGAGCATTCGGGTTCGTGGGCTGCATCTGGCTTTTTGGATTTTCATTTTTGCAATTACTGTTGATCTTGATACACCATGTAAATCAAAATATCTGGGGTAGTCAGTTTCAACTGTTTCATTCATTGTTGCTGTTGTCATTTATGGTCCATCTGCTGCTTGCAGCTATCAATTGCACTTAAGATATGCGGGTCCCGAGGTTAGGGAGGAAAGGTGGAAAGCTGATTTGCACGAAAACCGATTTGCAAAATGTCCTTTGTGTTGGTTAACTTTCTACTTTTTGTTCGGTCTCTGTGATGGTCAACGGCAGGTGGGTTTTTGCGAGATTCCAAGCTTAGAGAGCTTCAACTCAGCGGGAGTATGGTCAGGTTTGGTAGGGGTAGACGAGCAGCATGGTCCACATTTGCACTTGGAGTTGCTGGGTGGCCCAGGAATGTGGTTCAAGCAACCTTGCGGCATGTTTCTTCCAAGTTGAGCAGACCTCTGTTCGTCTTGGGTATCTCGTGTGGCGCGCTGCTGTGATCGATCTGGCCTTTCTAGGTGAGATTCAAGGAGCTGAGTCGGAAGATGGGCCTTGGGTGGCTAAGCGCCACCCTAGGTGGGTAAATGACTGGGTCCTGGTTGACATCCCATTGACTGGTCATGACTGGTCCATTTAAAATGGGGATTGTGGGAAGGGTTCACTGAACAAGGTGAAATGACCCCACCACTGATGTTGTTCTGTTTGCATGTTGCATGAATTCACGGTACTGTACCGACCTTCCTCTCAGACGATCAGGTTTTCTTCAAAGTTTCCTTGGGGATCCTTGGGGGATGATAAATCTTTTGAATTGGAGCAAAACAACTAGGATTTGCCAAAAAGAAACCTAGGAAAAAAACTAATAACAATTTTCCTTCAAGAAGGTTCTGGATTAGTAAGGCCAAATGTGCAATCAATCACCCCTTCGGCGCCCCAAAGCGTTCATTGCCTATCTCCAAAGGAGGCACCGCCGGCAATGAAGTCCTGACGCGGCAGCACCAGATCCGAGATTCCGAGATCGAAGCAGCTAAGGCTATCTGGGGGAGGAAACAAAAATCCACCCAGATAATCTCAGATAGAGGTAGACACAACTAGACCACCCAGATAACACAAACCTATCGACCGCCGATTTTTCGGGTCTGAAGAAGTCTGAAGGAATCAATCGTCTATGTGACAGGGAAAACCTTCTTAGAAGGGAAAAACCCTGCACAACAAAAAGAAGGGCAAGTGCCAGTGATGCCGCAGTGGCGGTGGCACCACTACGTTTCTGGCCGGGGCCTGTGGCATAGTCCCGACATCATCAATTCAGGAGGGCCACCACTACCCACAATGCCGAATAAAAATAAAGTGAAATTGTGGCTGAGAGATGCTTCTGCATTAGAGAACTGCCAATGGCAATCTGCCAATGGCAATCCCCTTGAATTTTGCTGACCACAACATGATCAACATGTGGTTCTTGAACACAATAATGTGACTAGGTGAGCCAGTGGCTGGTTCGCAACGCATCACACACATCTGCGCCGGCAACAACCATGAAGGAGGCCAGCCCAAAAAAGCATCACAGAGCAGTAGAGCGCGGCGCTCCATACGTGCCCTTGAGATCGCCTGCAGACTGCATAACTCCCAAGGTCAACCACTATGTAGCTCAAGTAAATCAGCACGGTCTGCAGGAAGTCGCACAAACCTATGGGCAGTCGCAAAATCGAAGTCTGGGAATCATAAACAACAAGTTTGCGAGAAATGAGAAGAAAAACGGGCCACAAGCGCCGACTTTGCTTGACAATGAGAAGCTGAGAATCCATTTTATTCCAAGTGTAGAGTACATTTGCTCGTATTTTCCAAGTGTGTATGGCATACCTTAGCATGGTCATTGTCCCCAAATGCAAAACATGTGAACCAACAAAACCATTTGGCCCTGATCGGTCTGCATCGGCACATGACCCCTTTGGCAGTGGAGCCTCGCCTCCAACCCTTGGGAAAGCTCTGAGATGTGGAATACTTGGGGGCATGGCAAAACGGTCGCAAAGGTAGAGCAAGATCTTCAAAGTGACCTGGATTTGGAGTCGGTCAGTTGTCTGGATTTGTTGGTCAAGATCTTTGGATCAAAAACTCCAAGCTGTCCAAGCTTTGATGAAAGTTTTCGATGTGTGTAAGGACATGCAAGAATCACAACTAAGAACATGCCACAACATGCCAGTATGTCTTTGCGTGGGATTTCTCTGGTCCTGGGAAATATCGAAAGCTGACACCAACAAAAAGGGCAATTTGGAATTTGTTTGTTTCCTGTTTTCCGGTTTTGCAATCTTTTCCCTTCATTTTGCATGGTTTGTCCCAATTATTCCTTTATTTTCCTCATTTTGTTTCCAAAATTTCCTCTTGTTTTCCTGTATTATGTATTGTTCATTTTGCCTATATGGTTTCCCTTTTTTCTCCTGCTTTTCTCTACGGCAAAGCAAGGGTAAAACCGAAATTATTCAAAAATGGGAGCAATAAGAAAAAATCACTCAACAAGCGGGCAAACTGCGGCAACACTAGAAAAAATATCAAACAACTCAACAGCATCAAAAAGGACCACGACCAAACCTAACCAAGACAATACACAAGATCCGAATTCCCCAAAAAATTGGAAAAGCAGTGCAAAAAACAATGCAAAACCACCTTGAACCAACATGCTAGTGTTGTTGTGTGGAAAAAGCAGGAGGGGGCGCGGGGGAGTGAGGGCAGAGCGCTTCGCCCACAACCAAAAGATTGATGACCAAAGGGCTCAGTGTCAAATGCACAGCAAAACCACCAAAAACATCAAACGACGCAAAACCATGACAAGCTATAGCGCACCCAAAGAATGAAGAAATAAGGGAAACACAGGAAAAAATACACAACCCCCCGAAAAACAAGAGCTACAGAATCCAAAACAAACAAGGCAAATTCAAAATCACTCGAACAAATAAGTTAACAAAAAGCCAAAAACAAACAGGGAAAAACATCATCGGTGTTTCGTTTGTTCTTTTTTGGTTCATGCAACTGTTCATCATTTGTGCCCTTTCCCCCTGGAAGGAGCGTGAAAGAAAAACAAGAAAATCCAGGGAAAAATGGAGAAATGTAGGCAAACCCAGGGGAAAAACATGCAAATCATGCCAAAATTGGAAGAAAACAAACAAATTATACATACTGGAATGTGAGTTTTTTTTTTGGGAAAATCAACGCAAAAAAACAGAGAAAGAAAAGTGAACAAACAAAACAGCATGAAATTGCCCTCCAAAACAAAACCAAGGTGCCATCTGTGAAGCGAAGAAGAAGCCAATTTGTTTGGACAGCACTCGTATCCACAAAACATCTGCTGGAAAGCCATCCAAGCAAAACCCAATGAAAACCTGGAGGCAGAGCGCGGGATTCCACCCCTCCAAGCCAACGAAGGCTAAATTAATTTGCTTTATTTTGCTTTCCAGTCTGAAAGTCGTGAGTGTCAGCAACTTCGTCGGAAACGGGTCCAATCTGTGAATGGCCTCTTGTCACTGATTTACAGTATTGGGGGTGTTTTAGCAAGGCACATGCTTTGGGAGCCACGTGAGTTTCGGATTGGGCCACTGAAAAACCTCATTTTTCACCAAAAGAAACAATTGACAAAATGGGAAACCAGCCTCAAAACTCGGTGCTGAAACTGCTGCGATGAGCAGGAGAAAATATGCAGAAGGGATTTGAGTAGACCTCTTCTGCAAGAGTTCGTCTCGAACAGGTCCTGACCAAGACTGCAAGTTCTTTGCAAAAGAATCCTTCGTTTTGCTACACTTCCCCCACCCACCCTCGAAGCCTATCCTACCAGCGACATATGCTCAATACCTGGAGCGCTCTGCTTGTTTGTCGGCCTGGGGTGGCCTCTAACAGCTTTTAACACCTACGCAAATGATAAGAACCGCATGTGAATCCCCAACAGCTTGCAGCAGTTGGCGTGTTCTCTTCGAAGCCTTTGTTGCAAAAAGTCCTCAAAACTATGAATAGCTGTTGGGGGACCTTAAAGTTCCCTCTTTGAACCTTCCGGACGGACTGCTTGGATTGCCAGAAACCTTCTGGAATCTGCGCTTCAGACTTCAGACCCTTGAATTTTTGGAGCTTTCAAACCTTCCTGAACCTGCACTTGCTTCCTTGGAGTTCCCGGAACGTCTGTACTTTGTGCATCTTTGTACAAGACCTGCTAAAACCTCGACTTGGAAGAAGGAGGAGGGCAAGCCACGCTGTCCCAAAGGTACCAGTGGTGTGCAAGATGTTTGGTGGGTGCCCCAACTGCTCCACAGTGATCGCCACGTGCATGGCGACAAGAAAGAAAACTTGAAAGAACAACGAGAGCACTCAAAATTGCCACAAAAGCCAGGGTGGGTGCACTCACTAAGGCCATGAATTTCTCAAAATCCACCCGCCGAAGTTGCTGGGTGAGCTTGCGGATGCTTAGCAATATAGCTTGGAGGGGCCTCTTGTGGGGCAACGTGGGCCTTACATGGCTGGCAAGATGGCCCTTTTAAGCCTCCAATTGGCGCAAAATCGGCTCACTTGCGCCTCACATGGCTCGCAAGATGGCCCTTGGAGGCCTCTAAGTGGCACAAAATCAGCTCAAAACATGATAAGCACTCAGGTTGTGCAGCCCAAACCGTTACAGCATTGGCAATTGATCACATCTTGCAAAGCTTGCCCACATGCTGACTCCGGGGTTGCAAAAAATGGGGTTGTCACTGACATCAAATGAACTGTTCGAATGTTCCTTGGTGCGGGCGGACTTAGACACGAAGCGGCGCGAATAGTTGCGATACTTACAGCGCTACATAGCGCTACCCTTTGGTTTCCTCCGCTACGCCCAATGTTGCACCCAAGAGGCCCTGGCAATTTTTATTGGTTAAAACTTTTGATGGTTAGAGGTGCGAGACATTGTGTTCTTTCAATGTGATCGGGTCCTTGGACATACTGGTTAAAGGCTTCCCGGCTTCCATACCACGCATCAATGGCCTCAGCTGAGTGAAGAAGTGATTTTCAGTATGGTTCTCCGAGGGACCGGGTCAAAGAAAATCAATGCTATATTAATTATTATAATGTTTTTGTTGAATTCATCACCGAAACCCTGCTTGAAGAGTCAGTCGCATGGAGTATCTGAGACAACCATGTGTAAGTAAGCAACACCTGATCACATCGCTTCTTCCTGAAACCAGGCCCTAGCAATTTGCAACATCAATCATCGCCGCCAAGTGCAAAGGCGCCGTCATGACGAACTTCCGATCAAACTCTTCCCGACACTCAGCCTTGTCGACATCAAAATTGGCCATGCTCTCAATCAACCGATGCTTTTGAGAGATGAGGCGACGCAGGAAGTGTGCAGCCACCAACTGTGGCACCAAGGCAAATGGCATTGCAACCCAAAAGTACTCCGGCGTGAAAGAGACTGCATACCTCGGTGAAGGTGCAGAGCAAGAGAGCAAGAGGAGGGTGCAGCCCTAGATGCCCTTCTTGGATTCTTGGGGATGTTGCGAACAACTTGCCGTCAGTAGCGTTCGCATAGCATCTCGCAAAACAACTAGCTTTGGTCAACATGGAAGTGGAGCCAATTGGAGAGGGGATGGGTCCCCCGGATGTGGCTGTTCAGCCCAGCCACGACAAGCACGTGGAGCAAAAAATCATAACCCACAGCACCAATACAGTCAACTCCACGAAGATCGGAGCCAACTCTATTTGCCCTTCGGGATTGGCAGCACGGTAGGCAGCAATCTCAAAGACACACCAAAGCCTCGATAAATACCTGATTGGATTGGATTGGAGGAGGACGTCAACCTGCTCCTCACCGAAGTGAAGTAGTTAAGACGCCGAAATTGCCAACGCAGAGCCGGAGCTCTTTGCACTGAACAAACCGGAGGGCAAGTTCAAGCCAAGAAAAGTACCACCCATGCAGCTGAAGAAGCAGCAAACGCTCATTCAAACGACCTGTTTTGACGTGGTTCGTGTTCAAGCAAAACTTGCCAGTAGGGAAGAGAACCCTTTAGTTGCGCCTTCCAAGCTTCTCCAGCCCAAACAACTGCCTCTCTGTGTTGTGACAAACAAGTAGCAATCACCTGCCGAAATTGACCTGTAAGATCAGCCGCGCTAGCATCCGCTTTGGCATTGAGCATGCGGCAACGCAAAACATCAAGCCACCCTTCGGGTGGGCGCCATCGAGGAACTTTATTATGCGAGGGAATCCAAGCACAAGAAGAGCCATCAACCAAAAGCATCCTGATATAATGCCAGTATGGAAAAAGATCTCCACCCCACTGACCAAGCCGCATGCCACGATGAAGACGTTGCACAAGAGCTTGGTTGTCAATCAGCAAGCGCACCGCTCTGTTCGCTTCATGGGAAGCCAAGCAGGCTTGAAGAAGTGCACCTCTCTCGCCCGCAGCAGGAGTTTGCTCGAAACCATGCACCAACCCATTGACCGTGGGCCCGAGATGTGCCGCCACAGCCCAGCTGGCACGCTGCCAAAGTTCGCACCCTGGAGCGATTGCGCAACTTCCATCCAAGCCCAAAGTCGGCGTTTGATGTGGGTCAAACTGTTGTAGAAAAGCCACCAGAATGGGGTCGGCCGTCATATCTTCAAATGGAAGAACAGCTGGAGCATCCACAAGAGGAACAAGCAACCGCCTTTCAGTTGGAGTTTTGAGATCACCATGCCAAGGATTTGCCTCGCAGTAGAAAGTGAAATGCTCACGATCAGGAGAGCTCAAACCACAATCACACTGCAAGTCGACTTCCAAACGTTGAGTAACTCTCCCATCCACTGCTGCACCTGTCAAGACTCTGCGACCACAATAGTTCAAATCATGCGCCACATTGGCCTGGAATTGGAACACAGGCAACTTACCTTCAGGTAAAGGACCCTCCGTTTTGGTGTCCTTCGTCCACATAAAAGCCAGCCATGCTGCAGCAGCAGCTTTGTATAAGCTTGAAGAAGACATCCACCCTGGTTTCAAAGTCCCCACGGGAGTGATCCACAAACCACCCTCAACACGCCAATTCCAGTCTTTGCAAACAGTATTCCACCTTGGGCCTGGCGAAACAGCGGCGGGCACACCTATGGCCAAGCGGCACTGGCGCTGCCATTCAGCCCGGGCTGCAGCAAAGTGAAGCGCAAAAGCAGGATGCAAACGCGGTGTGCCCAAAGAGTTCCAGAACAGCAATCTACTGCGACCTGGGGCAGGCTTGCGCCCCCAGACCGCCGCTTCAATACTGGAGGTCCAACTCTTGATGGTATCAACATCATAGTGGTGAAAAGCTCCTGTCCATGCAAACAAAGAGATCACCAACTGTCCCAGCAAGGTCTTGCGGGTGCCCAAACGTTTCGCTGCCAACCTGATTTTGCGACACCTCTCCTGAATGTCAAAGGAAAGCTTCTCTGCATTAACACAAGCACCTGCACGCTCCAAATTGTACTGAATACCCAGAAGCGTGAACTTGCTGCAAGGAGCCCCCAACACGTCCTGTATCTGTGACAGCTGAGGCGTCAAATGTTGCTTGGTTGTGAAACTATTTAACTTGTCAGGATGGAGTTCCATGCCCAGAATTGCATCAACCTGCGCACCTGCCTGCATGGCGTTGGTGACCACGTGAATGCCGTTGACACCTTTCTTCCACATTGTGCGGTCATCCAAATAAACTGCAAGAGAAACACGAGGCTCTTGCAAAAGAACGAAGCGCACCCAGACTACCATCACCGCATTGAGTAAGGCTGGGCTTGCCGGGCAGCCCTGCAGCAGCCCCCGCCGAGCACAAATGGGCTCTGAATGGAAAATGCCTTGCCAGGCAAACCACCTGCGTTGGTCAGTGTAAAAATTTTCCACCATGTCACACAAACTGGCCGGAGCACCCAACCAGCGCCAAATAGCAAGTGCAGTCTTTGGACAAACTGAATCGAAACACCTACGGATATCGGCCTTGCAGCCAACAAAATCAACTCTTGAACGTTTGGCAGCACGAATGTCTTCGTAGAGCACTTCATGAACATCCATAATGCCTCTTCCTGGACGGCCGCCACAAAGCTGAGGCAAGGCCCATTCTTGTATCCATGGTCGGAGCTTTTGCAAAGTTGCACTCATGCAGATGCGCCACAGGACCGTCGTGATGGCAAGTGGGCGCAGGCCCCCGGCCGCCTTTGGAATCAAGGCTATGCGAATATCTTTCCACATTGTAGGAACTTTCGCACACTGCATGCACGCCGACCACAAGACTGCAACGTGATTCCAAAAGGACTCCGGCAACTTGCACAAATGAGCCGCAGTCCAAGCATCCATACCAGCCGCTTTTTTGTTTAGCTTTCAACGCAGAACGCGCCAAATCAGCCCCAACCACTTGAATGCTTTCAGGCGTGACTGGGTCGACCTGATTGTTGAGCTGCAAACACAAATTTGAAACCTGGTCTAAATGTGGGAGGTGGTCCGGATTCCAATGCGTGTGCCACGCAGCTGCCTCCTGTCTTGCCTTATCTTCAGGCAAAATAGGACCATCGACCTGTGTTGCTGTAGGTGGATCAGGTGGTTTTTGCTGAACCCACTTCCCCAGTTTCGCAACATTTTCTTGAATGTCCTCTTTCCAAGCAGCAAGGCGTCGCTGAGACGCCTTTTTGGCCACCTCATCTGCAAGAAGCAAAGCGGCGGGAGCCAAACCACCATCAGATAAAGAAAACGCAGTAAGAGACGAGTGCAAAAGCGGAGCATCGCGCAACAGCTTGGTTTGCAATTGCGGCGAAGGAGCCTTTTGATATTCGACCACCCGCCGTGCAAATCTTCTCAGCTTTCGCTCCTCCAAAGTCTGCAACGTAGGAGCTTTGGTTGATGGGGGGCTCGCCATTTTGTGCGGGCCGTCCCTTGATGCCCTGCTGGGCTTGCATTGTGCAAGCAGCAAAGATTCAGCACAGTTGCTCAGGACCACCCAAGCTTGATCCACATTTCCGACGGCCAGAGCATCGGTGAAATCTTGCTGTGATTCTGCCCAAGCAACATTCCAGTTCTCAACCTCCACATTGCAAAGCAAGAGTGGTGCGCTTGCCGGCAATCTCCAAGGCGTGGGTAAGCTACCATGCACATGTATATCGTAAATGACTGCATCATGGTCAGCAACACCTAAAGACTGCATTCTTCCGGAAACAACAACTCTGGGAGTTGAAAGCGCGTAGTCAATGACCACCCCTGTGTATTCACCATCTGAGTTGCGATGGGTGCCAGGGCCAATCTGGTCTCCGCAGACTTGTTCATCGCAAGAATACCATTGCCCCGACGCCAGCGCGGTGGAGGCCGGCCAAACATGCCTTTCCCTGTTGAAATCGCCCACAATGATTGCTTCTTCGCCCAGCATAGCAACGTATTCAAAAATGGCAGCCAAGGCGTGGCCAGCAGCTGTTTGATCGTTGGCATGTAGGTACACATTGATCAGAAGAAGCGGTCGCTGGTGAGGTTGAAAAAGCTTCAGCGCCATGGCACGGTCAGCCGGTGCAAACTGACTTGGAATGGCCAACGCTTCAGCAGGCCACTTTGACAAAACTAACGTCCCGCCAATCACCACATTCTTGGCATCTACCCCTTGGCCGCCAGGAAAAACTTGCCACTTTCGCTGGTTTGCAGCTGACTTGACAGCGCTCCAACTGTCGACATTGACTCTAGTTTCTTGCAAACAAAGAACATCGATCTGCTCAGTCTTTGCTAACTCAAAAACGCCACCCAACCGGCCACTCAATGACCGGACATTCATAGTTCCCAACCTTAAAGTGCTAGACGTACCCGTCATTGGTCCGTAGAATCACCTTCCTCTTGCTGAAACCCCAAAATCTCCAAAGCACGGAGCGCCGCTCTCTGCCTCGCCCCAGGTTCTTTGTTGGCGAGCTCCAGCAAGGCGTCTTTGTTGCCTTTTCTCTTTTGGTTCCAAACGGTGCTGTTGGCGCAAGACATTCCACGGAAATGTTTCTCGTCCTTCATGCACCGCTTGCATCTCGTGCAAGCAAAACGGACCGTGAAATCTACCGGCCAGACAAGTGCCTCAATATGGTGTTTGGGCGCAGTGTCTTTGGAGCTTCCCTTGCCTGAGTCAATAATGTTCAAAACTGTACGGGCACCATCCTTGAGAGCATCACTGATGGACGCTTTGTTGAGACAAGCGCGGAGCCTTGCCAGCATCTTCTTCCTCTTGGGGCCATTGCCGGCCACATACTTTTCACAGGACAGCGTAGCAAGCTCCTTTGCTTGATTCGCCATCTTGCCACATTTGCGACAAATAACCTTTGCCATACCTCCTCTTTTCTGTTTGGCCTTGCCAGTCATAGGGAGGGTAACCAACACTGGTTCGTGGGAACCGGCATCACCTTTTTTGAGGCCCAACAGGCGTTTTGCCATGCCAGCTGCGCGCACTTGAATCGTAGCTTTGGCTGCATTTGCCGCCCTGTAACTTCCATCGCTTTTGAAACGCTGCACATTCGCTTTCGGATGGTGTTCTTCTCTATGCCTCAGTTTCATGCGAAGCACCTGGTCTCTGCTGAGATCGGCATCTTCAGGAATGACCATGTTGCACAAGTGACACTTCCACTTGAAACTCATACCAGGGGCGGCGTGACAAAGCTGACCCATAGCGGGAGTGAGCTTCAACCTCTCCTTCTCATCAGGATGCCAAGCATTGATGTGGGCCTGCTTTTTCTGCGGCCACTTCCTGTGTACCCCTGTGGAATGACAAGGAATTGACATGAATAATGAATTCACTCTTTCGATTTTTGAATCTCTTATGCGAATTCACGAGCAATTCATTCAGGTAAACTCACACTTAAGCAACTCGTTCTCAAGTAAGGTTACTGGACAGTCTCAAATGGGCAATATTAGGCCTCTGGCCCTGCCAGAAAACTGTGCGCAACATTCAAACGAAAAAAAATCACAGGATCTATAGTTTGAGTTCCAAAAGCTTGGAACACCGCTGCATGTTCCGCTGCAAAAGCTGACCAGCACCCCGTGAATGAGCTTCACAACTGTCCGAGGTACGGTTGCGACCAAAGGATCAGCAATTTTTTGGAACGCGCCAGGAATCCTCCCAAACCATAAACTCCTCGTTCCATCAGAGCCTGATCTTCTTGGTGAATGCAAGTCACGTCCTGGGCTTTGGTAGGCGTGAAGGGCTGGGCCTCACAAAAAAGGCTCAAGTAGAAGAATGATAGAAAATCTGTTGGTAATCGGTCAATAGCAATCAGCAAGCGCTTTTTGAAAGTCGAGTTGAGAAATGGGTATGATGGCGTTTTCCCAGAAAACCGGCCCCAACCGCTTGCTAGTTTGCATGCGCCCTGCCTCCCCACATGCAATACCAAGCGTCCAAAAAGCTTTGGTCATTCTTGAGGCTGGGGAAGTATGGAGCCAAAGCAAAACCCAATAGGATTGAAGGCACATGTGCTACCAAGAGCCATGGACCACTATGGTATGTCAATGTCAAGCCGAGAATGCCAACATCAGGAGCTGTCAGCGGCCTCGGCAGGACTTCCAACGCATAGAGACACACAACCATGCTCATGCAGCAAGCCCAGCAAAGGATCACAAAGGCCCAAGAGGTTCGCAAAAGCAGGGCAAGCACCTTCCATCTTCCAGCTGTCCTTCAACATGGATAAACGTGGTTAAATGGCCTGGTGAGTGATCCATCAACATGAATCCTAGCCTAGACGACCGACCCTCAGACGTGTCGGGCTCCGGGATTCTGGTTCCCGGAAAGGTGTTTCTGGTGCCCGTGGTGCGTTTTTGGTGTTTTCGGTTCCCGGGAAGGTTTTTGGTTCCCAGGGTGTTTTCAGCTCCCAGCGCTGGAGGGTTTTCAGTTCCTAGGTTCGGGTTTGGTGTTCCCGGAATGGTCTGTTTGGCGCCCAAAAGGGCTTCCAGTTCCCGGAATGGTGTCTCTGGTTACCGGCCAGACGGGAGGCCATGGCGGTGTTTCTACTTCCCGTACGGTGTTTCCGGTTCCCGTGCAAATTGTTCAAAATGATGGCTTGCGAATTTCAATTGCCAAGTACGAAGTTGGGGATACATGTGGATTTTTAGTTTAAGGTTTGCCATTTGAAGTCTTAGTAGTTTAAATTTTACTCTTTAAAGGCTTATCAGTTTAAGGTTTGCTATTGGAGGTGTTATTAGCTGAAGGTGTGCTGTTTGAAGTCTTATCAGTTTAAGGTTTGCCATATGAAACCTTATTAGTTTTTAACACTTGCTATTTAAAGTCTTGTTACTTTAAGGTTTGCCTTCTGAAACTTGATTAGTTTAAGGTTTGCCATTTGAAGCCTTTTGAATTGAATTGTGCTCTCTGAAGGCTTATCAGTTTAAGGTTTGCTTTTTGAAGTCTTATTAGCTGAAGCTTTGCGATTTGAAGCCTCATCAGTTTAAGGCTTGTCATTTGAAGTTTTACGGGTGTTTTTTTTGAGAGCGGGGGACTGTGAGAGTGCTTTTTTTTGCACTGATGTTGCATCAAGATCTCATATATCTGCCAGCGATGTTGCTCCAAGATCCCATCTATATGATATATATATATGCATACCTCAAAATTTCATCCAGCTGGGTCACAAGAATCAAAACATATTGCGCATGCACAGCGAGAAACTAAATAGCGCTATCAACGGTTCTATGTCATTTAGCCAGTGAATATCAGAGAGAAACTCAATTTTGCCCTGTTGCGCCATGCTCAAATGATAGGGTTGTGTTTGCTTCTATGTTGCAGGTTTTTATAGCAAGCATGAACAAGAGGAAACAGCACTTTTGATTGACAGAAGATTTCATTTTGTCCCCAAGCAGTACTGCATCTTCCTGACAGAGCTCCTACATAAAGAGATATGGAATGTTTTGCAAGGGTAAGCATATTGTTCCTTTGAAAAATGTTGTGTTATTGAACCCTAGTACAGCATCAACTCAGATTCTAAGGGCAACAGCATGCTTCTCATAAGTCATCGTTGAAAATTTGAAAGAATGTGGCATTTCTTGAAGTTATGGCATGCCTCTATGCAACATTCTTCTACAGAGGGGGCAACATTCCTTTGAACAAGTGTAAAGAAAGACCCTGAGATGTGCATAGCATTCCTTTAAAACAAGTGCGTTTGTCTTCCATATATTTTAATGAACATGTGTAATTCCTTCCATAGAGGTAGTAGTCCTTTTAGAGAAGGGTATCATTTCCTGTCATTTCCTTAAGATAAAATGTGCATATACATTAGTGTTTTTTTCAGAAAAACGGCATTCCTTTCAGACGGTACTTGATGGCTTCATGAAATATTGATTTAAACAACGGTGTTATGCCATATTATTTCGAAAACAATATGATTCATTTGGAACATACAATATAATTTTCAAATAACATAATTCACTGTATGATATTATTAAATGTATATATATATATTATATTATATATACAGTTACACACAATATTCCTTTCAAAAGTATGTAGCATCCCTTTGAGAAAGTAGCCTTCAAGACACGCAGCAGTCCTAGTGGCTGAGTATGGTGTGATTTAAGTTGTTGTACAAAAGGGAACCCTTTCATATATACAACAATCCCTTTGAAAGAGGGTGATGTGTCTGTAAGAAAGCGCAATGCATGGAATTTCCATTTGAAGAAGCATAGTGTTCCTTGCAGAAAATATAGCATTATTTTGAAAGGATATTCTTCGACAAGCAGTTGCTCTTTCAGAGACCACAGTGCAGCATGCCTTTATGCAAGTTTCCTTGAAAAGGATGCAATATATTTGTTCATTCCTTTGAAAAAAAGAGGGTGGTATTCCTTGCTCAGATGAAAACTACACAAACAGAGCCACCACCTCCAGAAAATTGGAAATTAGGCCTTACTGTTCAGGAAATTAAAAAAATGATTTCCATCCCAGCCAATCCCAAAAAACGAAATAATTTGATTTTTTTAGTTCAGAGAGGTCCCTCTTAAGAATTTAATTATCTTGTTGACGAAGGGTTCCTTCATGCCGACATGTGGAAACAGACACAACGAAGGATGCAGATCGGATTTGCAAAATTTGACTAAGAGCCTAAAGAACTTCTAGTAGGTCAAAGGTCAGCAAAACCAAAAAAACGAAAAACAACAAAAAAAACAAACAAAAAAAAAAACAAAAAAAAACAAGAAAACCAAGAAGACCTACTGGGCCAGAGTGCCTCAGACATAGGGTTGTTTTTTGTTTTTTTTTGTTTTTTGGTTTTGCTGACCTTTGACCTACTAGAAGTTCTTTAGGCTCTTAGTCAAATTTTGCAAATCCGATCTGCATCCTTGCCCGTCTTGTCATTTGTTTTTTCTTTTTGCCAGTCAATGCATATGTCAAAACAGAGAATGTGTAAAGAGGAGTGCAAAAAGCGCACTCTCACAGTCCCCTGTTCTGTTTTTTTTTGGAGTCTTATTGCTTTGAGGTGTCCTATTTGAAGTCTTATTAGTTTAAGGTTTACCCTTTGAAGCCTTATTAGTCCACATTTGCTGTTTGAAGCCTTATCAGCTTCAGGTGTGCTATTTGAAGCCTTATCAGTTTAAGGTTTGCTATTTAAAGTTTTATTCGTTTCAAGTTTGGCCTTTGAAGTCTTATTAGTTTTTAAGGTTTGCTAAGTTTAAATTTGCTATCTGAAGGTGTATCAGTGTTATCAGTTTAAGATTTGCCATTTGAAGTCTCATTAGTTTAAGGTTTGTTATTCTTATTAGTTTAAGGTTTGTTATTTTAAGTCTTGTTAGTTTTTGGACCCTGGTAGCGCTAGTGGCAGTTGTGCCCTGGCACTTGCCCATGGCTGCAATTTTCTGGTAAGAACCTGGTCAGCTTGGAGCTTGGAGTGGCTATGGGGTCAATATAATATCAACCACCCTGGGTCCAGGGCCAAAGTATTAAGGAAATGCATGGTTGTTGCGGTGCCATGCTGGCTTACATGCATGTAATGCCATGGCTGCAGGGGTAAACAATGTAATGCCATAGTGGCAAATTCAAATGCACGCAATGCCATGCTGCCCCCCATGTCTTACCAAGAGTTTATTACCAAGAGTGTCTTACCAAGAGTGTAACTCCAAGAGTGTTACTCCAAGAATCTCTTTCCAAGAGTGTCTCACTAAGAGTGTCTTACCAAGACTGTCACTCCAAGAGTGTCACTCCAAGAGTGTCTTACTAAGAGTGTGCCACTGAGAGTGTCTTGCCAGGGCCAAGAGTGTCTTTCCAAGAGTGTCACTCCAAGAGTGTCACTGCAAGAGTGTCACTCCAAGAGTGCCACTCCACGAGTGTCACTCCAAGAGTATCGCTCCAAGCTTTTCTCACTAAGAGTGTCTTACCAAGAGTGTCACTCCAAGAGTGTCTGACTAAGAGTGTGTTACTAATATACAATTGTTGTTAATTTTCTATAAACTACCTATGCCGTTTTTGAGCTAAAAGTTTGCTAAAAGTTAGCTGACCTGTAACTTAACTTAACTTAATTAACATAATTATCTAAAAAAATAACAAAAATAACAACTTAACATAACTCAAGTTAAAAAGTAACATGATTTATAGTCAAATGCGCAAAAGGCCAGATAAAGGCGCAAAGGCCAGAGATGGTTCCCACTACATTGGTGGGAAAACACCCTGGGAACCGAAAACCCCTGGGTGGGAACCAAAAACACCGTGGGAACCGAAAACCCCATTCCGGGAAAAAACACGACATGGGAACCACATGTTGGGCACTTGGAGCCTCTTGGTGTGGGCACCTTCGCTGGAACGTGGCAGTACCCTGTAAATCCCTGTCATGAAGGCCAAAAGAAAACTGTTCAACGGAGCGCCGAAAGGTAAGAATGACACATGATATTATGATATAATTATGATATACATGATATGATACTGAGACTACCCTCTGGGTGAGTAAAACAATCATGGCAAATTGATCCGTTAGAGGAGGAGGGGTGCGACAATGACCGCAATTCAAAACAAATATGACTATATAACTGCATCCAAAATGTGGGGGCAGCAATCAATGGCTATGGCTCAAGAATGAGCATGTCTGCCCCAGTCCCTGGCCAGAAAAACCCGTAAGTGTGGGAACATTAGCCACTGACCATGCTGCCCTCATGAGGGTTCTGGATTTTGCTTCACCACCTTTGACCGCGTCTCCCCTCCTCCAGGTGTGGGAAATGAAGAAAGCAAGGGACTTCACCGAAGCGGACTTCTTCCTGAATGCGCTGGTGTTTGGGCTGTTTCAGAGACCCCTTGCAAAGCACACAAAGAGCATCCCAAAAAGAAGCTTGTCAACTAGAATTCGAACCAAAAATCAAAAAGGCCTCCACAATCAACATGTCCGAATGAATCAACGAATCACGGAGAGTAGCCCCAATAAACCCTTGAGGTTTAAAGAAATATTGATAAACAAAATAAGCGGTGTCAAACAAATATCCTCTGATTAAGTATAAAATCGTGGGGAAATGCATGAACAACAAAAACATTAGAACTCAACAGAGACTCAAGAAAAACATGAAAAAATGCATAATATAGTTTTTTGACCCAAGACCAATTCATCTCAGCTTCCACAAGGCTTCGCGTTCCTTCAGTGGCAAGTCGCTGGGGGAAAACTGCCAGACTCGCCCAAAGCCTCTCAACGTCTTGCGCAAGGAGACGCCGCGCAATATTTCCTCATCCACCTGCACTAACGAGCTAATCTCCACAAGGAAGAGTCGTCTTAAAATGATATTTAATGACAATTTAATTTGTTGAGCAGTTTGGTGGTTTTTGAAGGTCTTTTGAGTGATTTGATTGATTGCTTTTGGTGGTTTGATGATAGTTCTGCTGAGAGTTTTGGGGTGCATGCTCCTAATTCCAAAGAATCCAGGGGCCAACGGACGCTCGGCCAGGCTGGAGAGTTTGAAACATTGGGTGCGGAGGGTTCTGTGGCGTCATTTCCTTGGACGCTTCGGTGACTAAAAATTGACATTGCTTGATGTAGTATAGTATATAGCGTGTCAATGCGTGTCATAACTCTAGTTTGATCTCTGACACAGTAAAGAAATGTAAAGAATTGGAATTCCTTTTTGATGTTGCGAGCACAAACATCATAAAAGTCGAAATTCTCAGGTGCTCATTCAGAGCGCCAATGAATACAGCATCATGTTTGAATCCTTGCTCGCAAATCTTGCCTCGCAACTAAAGAGGTCTACAGATGTCTACAGTAAACCCGTTTGGCGGATGAACATTTCACAGATGTCACCCGTCAATCGTCTACCCCCCTCAAAGGCCAGCCCAAAAAATCTTACCCGACAGGTTTTGTCAGCGAACCTCCAAATGGCCCAAAGATTTCATGACCTTCAGTCTGTGAGTGGCTGCCACTTCGCCCACTTCGCCCACTTCGTCCACTTCGCCATCCTCGCTGGCTTTTGCGTCTGGATCTGCTGCTGGATTTTCAGCGTCTGCACCCGCTGCACGGACTGTCTCCGACGGGATGCTGGCCGTGTCCCCCTTGTTGCAGCAAGCAGTGCTCACATTGGCTCCCATTCTCGTGAAGATGTGAAGATGAGAGGAGGACGGGAAAAGACAATGTTTTGAGCAACATGCTGAAGGAAAAGGTTAACTGAATTCTTGCCACGCGGTGATTGCCAATAGTTTAGACGTGCTTTATCCACATCACTTGGAAATTGATCATGACCACCAAAGAGCAATGGTGAGGCTTTCCCTCCATGTTGTACTCCATGAAACATCTTCTGCAATGAATGACAATCCGCTCAAGTTGTAAGGCAATATTGGCAACAACGCAAGTGCTGCAGAGATTTGCCTTCATGGTGACGGATTGCGGCTCTCAGCCTCCAGAAAAAACGGATCACAATGCCCTAACCTCAACCGGTCTCTGCACCAATCCCCTTCTACTCACGTTCCGTCTTCAACTTCTCAATTTCGGGTGTGATCACCCCCCGCCAACTCCTTTGCTGCTCACAACGCACAATTTGTTTCCTAAAGCGTGCCGGCCTTGAGAGTTTGTTCTTTTTCATTGGCCTACAAACTCAACAGCCAAGCAAGTGAATTGAACATGAATCAGAGACGAAAGAAATAAAAGAGGACACCTGTTGGCATTCGGGTCGAAATCCCTTGGATGAGCTTTCATGGTTTCCCAATTATAGACACCGCGAACTGTCACTGTGGAGGGGGGAAATCTTACACTTATCAGCAGCCAGCATCATCCAAACCATTGTTGGTGCCTGTACAAATAGCGGGTTCGGCACAGTTGGCTTGACACAAGTACATGAAATCAAACGTGGCTGTGAAATTGCTTAATTATTATACATTTCGAAGCGCTTTGACACGTATGGTCTGCGGGGGGAATCTACGAACCTATGTTCATTTCCCTGTGTCTGTGACGTCCACTGTGTGCTACATAGTGAGACATAGTGTACGTGCCCTGGCACAGCTGAGAACCCCTGCTGATTGGTCATCTGATGGCATCTTCTGCAAAAGCCCAGGTCAGAGCTAGGAGATTGTCCGGGTCCTCAGACTGCTAAGAAATGATCGGAGACCTTACGGGTGTTTTTCGTTTTTTGGTTGATTCTATGTCCAAATGGCCATACAAATTGGATTCGCTATAAACCTGTCTGCAAAAACAAATCACTGAACAGCACTGAAACATACTGAAACTAAAACAACTCAACATGCTGGCGGAAAGCATTACTGTAGATTTCTTTTTTGGGATGCATCCCCCACACCAGAATTAAACACATTGGCACCGGTCTTACTGCCATCGAACATTTAGAAAATTGGAACTGCTTTCCAGTAAAATGCCCTGTAGATTGATATCTGGGTGCCTCCCCTGTCCATTCTTGGTCATGGGCTACACCTTGGCGAGCCAGGTCTGTTTTCCGAGCAGGAGCATCGTGTTTTGGTCTGACTGTAACCCCTACAACTAGCCACTGAATGGCTGGATCACGACAAAAAACATAGTGGCTTCCTAAAATAGGGGTACCCCCAAATCATCCATGTTACTAGGATTTTCCATCATAAACCATCCATTTTGGGGTACCTCCCGTTTTAGGAAACCTCCACAAAGTCTTTCGCAACTGGTCACATGAAGCGAAGCATGTCGGAATGATTTCCACTAAAGGACAATTCAAGTAGGGTATCAAGTAGTAGGTATCAAGTACGGTATCAAGTAGGTATCAAGTAGGTATCAAGTAGGTATCAAGTACGGTATCAAGTAGGTATCAAGTAGGTATCAAGTAGGGTATCAAGTGAGCTGTGAAAAAACTCTATCCTAACTCTTTGCACTCAAAAAGGTCTTTCGTGAATCCTTTCGTTTTACTTTCGCGGCCACAATGCCGGCTTTCGCGAAACCACTGCTACAACAACCTCTTTCGCGGACCCTTCGCGGTGAAAGGGAAAATCGTGTAATCCTGGACATGATTCTTGGCCCGCTGAAACCTTCAGCTAGGTGGTGTTTCGTTGCGGCAAAGCTAGACTTTGGGAGCTGCTTGCTTGGCTCCACAGCTACTTTTCGACAGGGCTCTGAAAGCAATGTTGGGGATTCAGGTCTGCAGCCAGCAAAGCCCGCTGAAACCTAGAGCTAGATGGTGTTTCGCTGCGGCAAAGCTAGACTTTGGGAGCTGCTTGCTTGGCTCGATACCACACACGAGTGTCAAATTAAACTGCCAGAAACATGGGGCTTTCCAGGTGGACGGATGGACTTGGGACATTGCATCTTTCGCGGTTCTTTCGCGGATCTTTCGCGGATCTTTCGCGAAATTTGGCAGCCAAAAGTGGCAAGTGCAGATTCTTAATCTAAATTGAGCTCTGGCTACAGTCTTCAACGCACTTTACAACCCGAGCTGTGACACCCGACTCCCACAGCTGAGACCCAAGGCTTCCACTTGTCAACTTCCCGTCCATTCACACTGGTCCATTCCCACTGAACAAAACAAACAATTTGAAATATCTTAAACTTCTCTTTCGCGACCTTTCGCGAAGCAAATTACTTTCGCGATCTTTCGCGACCCAGCATTTCTCTTTCGCGAAAGTGATGTAGTATAACTCCCTTACATAAACAATACATTGAAGTTTTTTTCGTGGCTCAAGTAGGTATCAAGTGCAGTATCAAGTAGGTATCAAGTACCGTATCAAGTAGGTATCAAGTACCGTATCAAGTAGGTATCAAGTACCGTATCAAGTAGGGTATCAAGTAGGTATCAAGTACGGTATCAAGTAGGTATCAAGTACAGTATCAAGTAGGTATGAAGTAGGTATCAACTAGGTATCAAGTACGGTATCAAGTAGGTATCAAGTACGGTATCAAGTAGGTATCAAGTACGGTATCAAGTAGGTATCAAGTACGGTATCAAGTAGGTATCAAGTACGGTATCAAGTAGGTATCAAGTACGGTATCAAGTAGGTATCAAGTACCGTATGAAGTAGGTATCAAGTAGGTATCAAGTAGGTATCAAGTACGGTATCAAGTAGGTATCAAGTACGGTATCAAGTAGGTATCGTATCAAGTTTCGTCTCACTCTTGTGACGAAGCCACCCTCTTGAATGGACGCTGGAAGCGGTTGTGTCTCCACGCAAGCCAACGCTGGGGTGGTCGCCATGGGCGTAAAATTGGGCGATCCAATGTTTTTTTTATTGAACAGCTGACGGAATTGTGGTTTTTGTTCAACAATCTTGAGATCCCTGTTGAATCTACCATTGAAGAATTCTGAGACAACAATCATCAAACTGGAAATACATACCGCACATGGTTGTAATTTGAACATTCCATGATTTTCTATTCTTGGCCTTAAATTCATGCTTGTCACTGTATGGGCTGTAAGCTACCAAAAGTCACTGCTAAATTGGAAGACCGTGGCAGTGGGTTTCATGAGACCGCCCAAGACCGCCAAGCTGAAATGTTGTGCATTGAGCCGGTCGTCGGGGCAATGGAGTCTTTGGGTCAAAACTTAATACCACAAGAGACCTGAGAGCTCATCATGCTCTGATTTACCCATCATACTGTCACACATGAAAATAGGACCAAGCCATCTTCTCCCACCCATATCAGTATGGTATTTCTTTTCAAGCGCTAGCAGCTAGCACACCCAGTTGAAACCACAGTGTCTCAGTGTCTCCATTTGCGGGTAGGCCTGGTGATTCATCCCAAAGGATCCCATGTGCCAAAGTTGGTGTGCCCTGACCAACTATTGTGTGGTCGTTCATCAGCCTGTCTCAAGATTCTTCAGACCCCACATGATCTCCAGCTCAATTCTTTGGAAGGCAGGAGGTCCCCAAATGCCACCCTCTTTCGAAAGTTTCTGGGATTCAACCTAACCAACATAGATAATAGACTTATTTGGGGAAATGATGCTTCCCAATGAGATGACCACGGATTTTGGAACCCAGAGCTGCCACCCTTTTGCAGCACAGGCAGTGTGCTCAAAGCAGTAGAACTTGTGGCCATCAACACCGGTGGCAGCGGCCCAACCTGTGACGGATCTCGTTTCTAAAAGGAGCACAGGCTGATGCTGCTACTTTTTTAACCAAAGCTTTAGGGATTCAGTTCTTATTGAGTTCTTCTTCGCTCCCTGAGAATGGTGGGTACATGCGGGTGCACCTGTAGCCTGTAACCTTGCCACTCTCAAAATTCCGGTAGTGTCGAGTCAATGCTTTGATCGAATTACCCAGACTATAATATAAGCTTATGCCAGTTCATACTTTTTCGTCCCGTCCTGCCCCCTCCCCCTTTGAAGATAGTGTTCTATTCTATATGCGAAATTTCTGCTGACCACAAACATTCTCTCCATTCTAGAATGTCCTGTCTGCTACCTTCCCGGCTGAAACGATCTTTTGTTGCCGAGCCCGAGCCCTGGCTCAAAATCTGTCAAATGTTCATGGAAGAAGTGGAATTTCTATCCGCAAACCAATAATACTGAATCAATCCAGCCTTGATCACCGTAACATACCGTAACTAGATGCAACTACGAGTATAGCATATTGCTGCCCCCCTTTCACAGGTCATAGATGTCATAGGCCCACTAGGGCCCCAGTGCCACCAGTGCGTCCCACCTGCTGACTCTTCACCAGGGCATCGGAGATGGCCAGGTACGACTTGCAGTCAGGGCTGATGTGCGGAGCCATGGCCGAGAGAAGTCGTAAGACACTTCGCCAACTGCCTGGCAGAGTTCCAAATGTCAGGAGATGTCAGGATTACTTGTCGCAGAAAGCCGGAGAACTTGGACTTGGTGGATGTGGTTACATAGGTCTTCAGACCATCTCTATCATGCATTTTGGACCCATGACATGATTGTGGCTTGCAGTTCGGTACCACAAAAAAGAGATCATTGCTAGAAAATCAACAAAACCACACTAACCTCGTCCAAAAATCAACATCATCCACATCGTTAAGTCTATCAGTTTACGCATATCAGCCTATCTCATCCTATCTCTACATCCCTTCTACAGATCGGCTCGCCTCGACCCAACGCCCGTAGGGCGGTGTTAAAACTCCGCAAGTCAGCTGCCACGGGATTGAACAGAGCCAGGGCTTCTTGCCAGAGACTTTGGCGTTCCTGACATGTGGGAACACACGTGTCATGGTCAAACATAAATGGGATGGTCATGGAAATTAATCATCAAACAGGGAGATCTAAGCAATCATATGAGTATCATAGGATATTCTAGGAAAACCAACATAATATGATATATGATGATATATGGGGAATGGTTATGATATCATCATCAGTGGGATTCCGAGAAAAAAGAGACACATTCATCCTTATTGATCAGGGGATGGCAAAAATAGACACTGTTTTGACCATGGCATCGCATCCATTGATGTTGCTTGATGCTGGGGATGTAAGAACAAACAGAAACATGAGGTGTAGCAAGGGTGGAACCAACTACCGGAAGGCTGAGGAAACTTGCATCATTGATCATGGAGAGAAAAACAAAATGGTATACATTATACAGCAACTTACGAAACATGAGGATGGTCTGTGATGGTTTATCAATCATCATAGTCTATATATATATATTTTGTGACTGGACCGCCTATTCAGCTTGCTTGGGGTTGGATGAGCTCAACCTTCTGTCAACATGCTTTAACGTCACCCTTGCCTTCACCGCACTTCAACTGGACCCAACAGCCCCCATCTTAAAGCAAGGCTCGCAACAAGCCATGGCCGAGTTGATCGCAGCACACGACGCTTGGATCCCACGCCGCGGCAGTTCACCCAGAAGTTCCAAGGCCCTCTGCCACTGCTGCGCCTGATCCAACACTGCCAAGACAGTGCCGTAGGTCACCAGATCCGGTTGCAGGCCGGCCTAGCGGGGCAGGGCCAGGGCGGTCCAAAAGATGGCAGAGTTCAGCGGTGCAGCGTCGGAAATTCTTGTTGCGTCAAACCATCATGGTGCCATGTGCAACTTCCGGAATAGCATCATGGTCCATGGTTCTGATATTTCATGAAAGTGGAATTCTGGGAAATGCTGCGAATCTTTTGCTTTGGCAGGGCTTCGTCTGAGAATGGTGGGGTGAATGCAATTCAATGAGCACATTTGGTGGGTGTGGCATGTCTGAACAGTTTCACCCATTGCCAAGAAAACAAAATCATGCTAAATCATGCCATAATATAGCAACATAGTGTCATAGTAGTTTATCAGTACATCGATATATCAATATATACTGTGGATGGAACTCCTTTACCACGTTCGATGGTAGAAACCTTATAAACATTGGATAAACCACTTGTCAACTGGTGCAGGATTTCTTCACAGTATCATCATATATCAACATATGGATACACTCAGCATATCGATCCAGATCAGTTTCAACCAGTGAAAGGAGAAGTGCAGAGACGTTGAACCGTGAAGCCTCTGCGGTGGATCTGCTGTCCTCCAAAACTGTGTTTTGCAACTTTGTACATAGGCCCTACATAAACCCTAAGAAAAACCTGAACAAAAACCTAAAGAAACCCAAAACTTGATCCTAAGGAAACCTCAAACGAACCCTAAAGAAACCCTACATAAACCCTAAATCAACCCTATACAGTCTATGAAAGTGTATATATATATATATATATAGTGCTCCGAAGGCGTAACGCACGTGCTGCGGGTATAAATGGATTTCATACATGAACATAGCAGGTCTGAACAGTTTGAATCCATGCCAAGAGAACTGTAGAGACTAAACATGTTGCAGTGTGAGCCTGAAAAATAGAAGCTAAATATGTATATAAATCTAGATCAACATAGGGCCTAGGGATACCCATGGTACTCAAATACCGATCCAATTCAGATTTCTGCAACATTTGTCCTGCATCTTGTGGACCTCTAAGACTGTAAGTCGTCACACCAAGCCAACCGGCACTTTCTCTCCGAGTTGCTTTGTTCAATTAAAAACTAATGTATAAAACAGCAAATCACGCGATGCTGACCAAGACCGAACAACACATCAAACTCTCAAGGGCGCTTGGCAGTGTCACTCCTTCTAAGCTCTGATTATAATCATTGCCAAATGTCAAGGCCTGAAGACTTCTTGGAAGGGTCACGTGTTCCAGGCTCTGGTTAAAGTCTCTGCCAAATATCAACGTCTCAAGACTGCTTGGCAGTGTCACTCCTTCGAGGTTCTGATTGAAAACATTGCCAAACGTCAAAGTCTGAAGTCTGCTTGGCAAGGTCACTCCTTCCAAGCTCTGGTTAAACTGGCTGCCAAATCTCAAGGTCTGAAGACTACTTGGAAGAGTCACGCGTTCGAGGCTCTGATCAAAAAAAGTGCCAAATGTCAGGGTCTGGAGACTGCTTGGCAAGATCACGCGTTCGAGGCTCTGGTTAAACTGTCCGCCAAAAGTCAAGGTCTGAAGACTGCTTGGCAGCATCATTCCTTCCAAGCTCTGGTTAAAAAAAGTGCCAAATGTCAAGGTCTGAAGACTGCTTGGCAAGGTCACGCGTTCGAGGCTCTGGTTAAACTGTCTGCCAAAAGTCAAGGTCTGAAGACTGCTTGGCAGCATCACTCCTTCCAAGCTCTGGTTAAAATTGTCGCCAAATGTCAAGGCCTGAAGACCACTTGGTAGGTTCACGCCTTCCAGGCTTTGATTGAAATTGTCGCCAAATGTCAAGGTCCGAAGACTGCTTGGCAGCGTCACGCGTTCCAGGCTCTGATCGAAATAGCAGCCAAATGTCAAGGTATAAAGGTTGCTTGGCAGGGTCACTGCTTCCAGGCTCTGTTTAAAATTGTAGCCAAATGTCAAGGTCCGAAGACTGCTTGGCAGGGTCACCACTTCCAGGCTCTGGTTACGGACACAGCCAAATGTCAAAGACTGAAGATTGCATGACAGGGTCACTCGTTCCAGGCTCTGGTTAAACCCGCCGCCAAATCTCAAAGTCTGAAGATTACCTGGCAGGGTCGTTCCTTCCAGGCTCTGGTTGAACTCCCAGCCAAAAGTCAAGGTCTGAAGACTGCTTGGCAGGGTCACGTGTTCCAGACTCTGGTTAAAGTCCCAGCCAAATGTCAAGGTCTGAAGACTGTTTGGCAGGGTCACGCAGTCCAGGCCCTGGTTAAACGCGCCGCCAAATGTCAAGGTCTGAAGACTGCTTGGCAGGGTCACACGTTCGAGGCGCTGATTAAAATAATAGCCAAAAGTCAAGGTCTGAAGAATGCTTGGCAGGGTCACATGTTCCAGGCTCTGATTGAAATTGTAGCCAAACGTCAAGGTCTGAAGACTGCTTGGCAGCATCACTCCTTCCAAGCTCTGGTTAAAATTGTCGCCAAATGTCAAGGCCTGAAGGCTGCTTGGCAGGGTCACTCCTCCCAGGCTCTGGTTAAATCTGCTGCCAAATGTCAAGGTCTGAAGACTGATTGGCAGGGTCACATGTTCTAGGCTGTCATTAAAGCCATCGCCCAGTGTCAAATGTTCAACGCTTTGTGGAAGATTGTGCAAAGCCCCCTTGGCTATTGTCCCTTCTATCCGTGTCACCCCCCCTATTGCAAGATCTCCCTTAGAGAACGGTAGTTCTTGAACAGCACACCATGCGGAATAAAGATCTGTTGGAACATAAGTACAAGAGAGTGCTGCAGCCTCGCCCACAATACCTTGCTCCTGCAATCTTTGGTGTAGCGTCACGGGGGAGTCAAGGTGAAGCAGCTTGAGTTTTCCACCTTTCTTGGGAGGAAGTCGTGCTGAAACCTTTCGGTACACTTCCAGACCGGTACAGGAACGACTGAGCTTCAACACGCATCCTTCGCCATTTAGGCATTGCACAGAAAGGTCGATCAAGTCTGAGTTGCGACTTGGCTCCACGTAGCCACTAGCATCACTTCTGGGCATCAGTTGCTCCTTTGCTCAGGGCCATAGACCGGACTTTGCCGGCATTTATCTGGCTGAACTTTCAATTTATATGACAGATGAGCCTCAAATGTCTAGTGAGCGTGGGGTAGTTCCCAGTGGGGCCGTTGTAAATTTACCCAAATGCATCGCATCCTTGTGGAGTATTCTTTCTTCTAAAAGGATTGACTATCAAATTTGAGGCAAATGTTCAAATGTCTGCATGTCTGCACTGACTGCAAGAGAGCTGGAGTGAGGCCACCAAACCATTTTCACTTGCTTCAGTGCCTTTAGGTTGATCACTTGATTTCACTTGATATCACCTGTATCCCATTTTTCATGACGTCTTTGGTTCAGGACAATCCCGATTGATCGCGAGTATATCGCCACTTCGGTTGGGGGAGATCTTTCTTTTGGAAAACCAGGGCTGCATGTGCCAGTTCAACCCCTACTAAATGTAATTCATGTTGCAAACCCAAAACCCCAATTATAAAACCATCCTCTATAATCCTGTATATATATACATATATATATATACATATATATATATATGACCATAAATATATATATATATAAATGTCATAAATGGATACTTGGTATAAACATGTATAAACCATCCCCAAATGGTGGCCGCAAGCTGAGCCGCGGAACCTCCTCCACCTCTCGGAGCCACAGCAGAGCAGACGACCAATCCGCACGCCGCGTGCAGGCACCCAGCAAGGCGTTGTAGGTGATGACATCAGGCGCCACGGTCTCACGATGCATCTGCTGGAAGACCTGTAGTTGATTGCAGTGGGATCTGAGATTTGGGTGAACCACCGGTTTTTTAAAAAGGAACTTTTGATGTGAATTGAAAAGGTTTTCTGCGATAGTTTTCCTCAACCGGCTTTGGGAGAGATAAATTGTCAAACATGTCCATTCACGTACTTCTGAGTCTGTGAGATTTGCTTGCAGAAGTGAACCAACTGAAATTAGACATGGGAGATTCACGCTGAAACAACATGAAACTTCGAACTCTAATATATATATATATACACACAGTGTATATATATATATAATATACATACATTATATATATATATATATATGCACCAGGCCCTGCCACCCCCCCCCTCCCCCCCCCCGCATGGGATGGGTCCCATATTGAGATCTTCCCCCTCCCCACCCTGTGGTGTGGTGGGGGTGTGGTACTGTGGTATGTTGGGTATGTATGGTGTGTATGGTCGGTCTGGTATGGCATGTTTGGAAAGTATGGTATGTTTGGTATGTATGGTAGGTATGGTATGTATGGCATGTATGTTTGCTATTGTATGTATGGTAGGTGTGGCAATTATGTTGCATATGTATGATATATGTGGTATGTATGATAGGTATGATAGGTATGGTATGCATGGCATCATTGGAATGTATGGTAGGTACGGTATATGTAAAACACATGTAATGTTGTCAGAGTACACAGGTAGTAAATAGGAAGTAGATACATAACACATGTATATATATATCACTATAGGTAGTACGTAGGCGTCACGTAGGTACTTTGAGGGAGTATATGTGCTACGTAGGTCACCTAAAAGGTAGCATGTACCTAGTAAATGCGAGGCTGGTAGTCAGAAATGCTGCAAAGACCTAGCAAATACGAAGCTGGACATCAGAAATGCTGCCAATAGCTTGCAAATAGAAGGAAAGGGGGGGTGGTACCTGGGGACCCAACCCATGGGGGGGGGAGGGGAAACAATGTTAAAAACATTAGTTCAAAGAAGTTTTATAAATTCAAATTATAGCAGTATAACAACTCAATAATTATTTGCAAAAAAACATAACAACTAACCACAATTACCTCATTCATTCCACAAAATCATCACTACTAACCATATCATCATCTCATTCATTTTCATAAATCAAAACAACCTACAATCTCTATACCTCATCCATTTTATAGAAATCATCACAGTCAATACATCATCACCTCATCCATTCCATACCCAAAACAACCAAACAACAAACAAAAAAAACAAACCAAGCAAAGCGCAACATAAAAAACAAAACAATAGACAACAATACAGATACTAGTCTTTAATAATCCTATCTTACAAACCCATAACTCTAATAATATTATCATTAAAATTATGTAAGTAGTAAATGACTTCAATAATTACTAATTCAAAATGAAATGCTTGTATTCCTATTGTACTATCTTTATCATAGTCTTCATCTATATCTTCCTGTATTTCTTCAACTGCTTTATCTAATACATAGTCTATGTTATCTTTATCTACATATTCATCAAAGCCATTCACAAAATAAATCTCTCTATAACTAAATTCATTTTCTCCATATTCCTTTTCTGGGAGTTTTGCCACTAATTGAACTTCAATATCAAGTTTAACTCTATAATTATTTACATCATCTTCTACTTCTTCATAAATTAAAGATAATAAGTCTTCTTTTTCTTCTGTTATTATGTCTTCTATACTTTTTAAACTAAATGGCACTCCCTCTCTCATAACACAGTATTCAATGATATATATCTTTTTTCTTGATTTCAAATGTCTTGTTATTTTAGGACCAAGTCTTGATATTTTATATTGTGCTGTATTCTCTTCAATGCTTCACTATACTTTACTTTCAAATATTTCGGGTCCCCAATTTTTTTCCGAATCAATTTTACTCAACACATCAACAGGCAAATCCTTCACACAATCCATCCCACTAATATACTTAAATAACTATTCTTTAAGTATATATTCTATGATTAAAATAAAGCATTCTTTTGAAAACTACTTAAAGATAAATTAACTAAATAAAATATATACTATTATATGATGAAAAAATATAGACTATTTATTGAGTAATGATTTAGCAGAAATACCAAAGAGAGGAAGGAAAAAATTGACGTCCATAATCATAGACAACAGGAAATTCAGATACAACAACGACAAACCCATATCAAATGTCTTGACCAAGAAACTACTATCAGTAAAGAACACTAATGAATACAGAAGTTATGCTATGAAAAAGGCAACAGATGTTGTAAGTAGAGAAAGGGTTAGACAATTAATAACCAAACACGCAATAAGAAATAAATTTAGGGTCAGAGATATTCAATCAGCATTTAGAAGATATGCTAATTCAATAGTTTTAGAAAACAAGCACTTTCAAGGAGAAAGAGGATTAGAAATGATTGCTCACCAAAAGCAAAGACTATCAGAATTTTTAAGCAATAATAGAAACATGAAACTTAACATAAGAACGGAAGGATGATTTGAAAAACCTGAATATGATGATGGAGGAAATGAATTGGGAAGTCAAGAACTTGTATATGTTTTACCATCAACGTATCATCCGAGTCACAATGAATATGAACTGACACAAGCATTAGAAGATAGTGTTATTCAAATCCGATTCAAATACAAAATTTGGAAGGTTCAACATCTAATTTAAGATTTAGAAAATTTTTATCAATAACTATTCACTATGACAAATTTGACCCAACAAGAGCAGGCAGTTTTATAGAATTACCAGAATGGATTAAATCAAAGAAAGCTTGTATCAACATAAAAAATAAAGACCAAAAATGTTTCAAATACTGTATTCAATCCGTAGTCTATGACAAAATTAGCAAACATCACCCAGAGGAAATGTTCCACTATAATAAACTAAACGATGATATTTTGAACTGGGATGGTGTAAAATTTCCAACTTGCAATAGGGACATAGACAGATTTGAAGAGAACAACAACTTAATTTCAATAAATGTTTTTGAAACTGATGACTGCCTAAATGATAATAAAATAATCATACATAGAGGCACTAAAAATAGAAATGCTAAATATGAAATTGATTTATTAAAAGTCTATGATAAAGGTAATAACTATCACTAGTATTAGTGAAAAACAGAAGTAGATTACTTAACTGCCAAAGCAACAAAAATATCAACAAGAAACACTACTGCCATCATTGCTTAAACCCTTTCTTATCAGAAAAGGCATATAAGAACCATCTTGAAAAGGGATGTATGGCATCAGAAGGACAACAAACAAAGATGCCTGATAAAGACACTTACATAGAATTTCAAAAGCATAATACCAAATTGCCTTGTCCTTTTGTAATCTATGGTGATTTTGAATGTCCAACCACTAGCTCTAACAATGGTATAAAAGCCACATATCAGGAACATAAACCGTGCGGTTATATGTTGAATGTATTAAGCAGGATTGATAATACATGCCAACCATACTTATACAGAGGTGAGGATTGTATGAAAAAGTTTGTAGAACAACTGACTGAAATTAAGAAAGATATATTTGAAAAAATGAATGTTAATAGACCATTGGATGAATTAACTTACGAACAAAAGACAGAATTTAGAAACGCGACCCACTGCTCTATATGTAATAAGAAATTTCAACCTGATGATACAAAAGTCCAAGACCACTGCCACTTCACAGGCAAATACAGAGGCGCGGCGCATGTAAAATGTAATTTGGATTATTCATTTAGGTATTTTAAGATCCCTATTTTCTTTCATAATCTTAAAAATTATGACGCTCACTTAATCATAGCAAAAGCAAATGAACTAAACATAGAACTAAACCAAAACAAAAGAATAGATGTAATAGCACAAAACAGCGAAAAGTTCATAACCTTTTCATTTGGCGCTTGTCAGTTTAAAGACAGTTTTGCTTTCTTAACAGCATCATTAGATAAATTAGTTAGACTGAACAAATATGAAGGAAATGAAAAGATTAAAAACTGGGAAACTCGTTCTAGATATACAAGCACTAACCCATACATTAAATCAAAAACTGATTTGAATTTACTAACTGAGAAAGGGGTATATCCCTATGACTATGATATACTCGGGTTACATATCCTTGCCCCTTCCAAATTCTCCTGCACCCAAGCCCCATCCTGCTTGAACTCTTTGAGGGTTTCATTTAAGGCTCTCTGGACTGTGTCTTCCGACTCCTTGGTGGTTCTCGTGAGTGTGTGTAACATCTTGTGCCACCACCTTGTTTTGCGGGACTTTCTCCAGTCCTTCAGCTTTGCAGTTGCATTCAAATTCAGGAGGAGTTTGGATGCTTGTATCTCATTCCACCTGGACATTGCACTTCTGCTGTGGCGATACACGTGTCCGTGCCACATTGAGCGAACCAACTGCCTCAGCGACTTCACGCGACTGGGTGACGACCACAACTTGTCCATATTTGAAGGCGGCGCGGGCAAGGCTCATCAACATCTTCCCATCCTCACCGAGTTCATTGTCAAAGATGTTGTCAAGAACCAATTGCAAGCGAACTCCCGCGTCGGACAAGATTTGAAAAAGGTTTTCTGCAACAGCTGGCAGAAATCTCATCTCATTTACGTTAAAAAAATCCTTGAGGTTGTCCAAACTTCCCCTGACCAAAACAGTGATGCATTTTGGGTTGTGTTTTGCCCATGTCAGCATGGCTAAAACTACCGCAACGGACTTACCCGTGCCGGGTTCAGCATGAATCGAAGAGACCCCGGTCAAGGTCACATCCGATAGCACATTGCTCACTAAATGCTGAAACTCTGTGCCATTCACGGGGATGAGTGGCAGCGAGATGTTCGGCAAGAAGATGTTGAGGGCTTTCTCTGATGTACAGGCGCTCTCCACCAAGGTCTGCGCAAGGCATTCTGCGTGTGCTTGGGCCTCCTTGATGTCCACCAAAGCTGTCTGCTTCGAAATCAAGCGAAGGTTGTTGTTTGCATCCAGAGCTCCCTGCCAGACGTCCTTCAGTGTTATCCCAATCACAGTGACGAATGGCTCGAGATACTGTGCCATGTTCGCAGGGTCCAATGCTGTCCTCGTGGTTATGCTTGGAGACTTATGCCTGTTAGTTTGGGTCACTCGCGGTGTCTCAACCAGTGCAACAAAAGACCTAGCCACCAGAATGGACAAGGCCAATGCAAGGAGCTTGGAGCCGCGCTTTGCCATGGCGCAGGTTTACACAAACTATTCTGACATATGCGCATGACACCAAATTCTACACATTATATATAATAATAGTTCACTGATGGTTGTGCTGCTCAAGTTGCAAGTCTCTATGCGCATTTGAAATCCCAGCTCTGAGAAGAAAGACCATGGGCGCCTATTCAATCAATTCTTTCATCCAAGTTTCATGCAAACATATTTGGGCAAACGGGGAAATCCGTCACCGACTTTGGGAAAAATCTGCCACCGACTTTGGGGAAATCCGTCACTGAATTGCGGGAAATCTGTCACTGATTTTGGGGAGATGCGTCACCGGTTTTGTGAAGCTCCGTTTTTGGGAAAAAAATGTTCCGTTTTTGGGATGAACAGGCTCCGTCCGTTTTTGGGACAAGTGGCTCCGTTTTGGTGAAAACCGGCGCAGTTTGGGGGAAAAAAAATTGGTTAGGTTTTTGGATTGGCTTGGACAAAGCTCAAGTTTCACTGTTTTGAACGCTAAGCATGTTTGGGTTTGTAATTTTTAAGGTTTTAGGACTGGGTGTCACTAAAAATAAGTCAAGCGGTGGGAAGTTGGAAGGGTAAAATGCTCAAGCCTATAAACATTGATGTTGAAAATTGTTTTTGCTCTGTTGATTATGTTGATTAACGTCTTGCATGAGAAGGCACGCAGAGATGACATCAGGACAAATCTAATTCTTCCGATTGAGGATTAAAAAATACTTAAACAAATATTAAGATATATAACTAACTATATATACACAATATGTGTTACTTTGTAAGCAACGGAGTTGAAATGTCAATGACTAATCAAACCTTCGACTTTATTTGGAACAGTTTTGGAAACAAAGAACTGACTGACAGCGAAACGTCTTCTTCGTTTGAAGAAGGTGCTAAAACAGGTTCATCTGGTGAAAAAGCTAGAAGTGCTGAGTGGAGAAAACAACACGACGGCTACTACAACAGAAAACCGAACGATGAAAAGTATTTCCAAAGATATTACCAAGAGAGAACGAAACAACAGTGCGTATGCGATATATGCGGTTCTGACTTAAGTTGTAAATCAAACTTGGCAAAGCACAAGAAAACGAAGAAGTGCCAGAGGTTCTTGGTTTGAGTTCACTATGATTTTATGATGCAAGAGAACATCATAAAATTATAATCTAAGTATTTTTAATGACAAGATTAGAAAAAGAAAAGGTATTGGAAAGAATATACTACGACGTGGACGAGGGTTTCGGTTCGGTGAGGGACTTATACGAAAAGGCTAGGAAAGTCGATGTAGGCATAACTTTGGAGATGGTATCTACATGGATGAGGGCGCAACCGAACAAGCAAACAAGAAACTACAAGAACTACAATTCTTACACAGCACCGTTCCCGAAGTATGAATTTCAAATTGACTTGATGGATGTCACGAGTTTGCTGCGAGACGTGGGTTCTGAAATCAAAAGGCAACTACGATATGGTTTAATATGCATAGATATATTCAGTAAAACAAGATGAAGCCCACGAACCCGAATGCTCACACGCATGTTACTGGTACAGATGTGGAAACACATGGATATGCAGTCACGCACAACACTTTCCTGCAATCGTTTATTTGAACAGTCTTGTTCATATTTCCCCTGTTACCAGTCTGCAGTGTGGAGTGGAAAGTGTAGAGTGTGGAGTGTAAAGTGTGGAGTGTGGAGTGCGGAGTGTAAAGTAAGGAGTGCGAAGTATAAAGTGTGGAGTGGGGAGTGTAGAGTGTGTAAAGTGTGGAGTGTGGAGTGTGCAGTGGGGAGCGTGGAGTTTGTAAATTGTAGAGTGTAAAGTGTGGAGTGAGGAGTGTAAAGTGTAAAGTGTGGAGTGTGTAGTGTAAAGTGTAGACTGTGGAGTGTGGAGTGTGGAGTGAAAAGTGTAAAGTGAAGAGTGTAAAGTGTAGAGTGTGGAGTGTGGAGTGTAAAGTGTAGAGTGTGGAGTGAGGACTGTCAAGTGTGGAGTTTGGAGTGTAAAGTGTAGAGTGTGGAGTGCGGAGTGGAAAGTGTAGAATGTGAAGTGTGGAGTGAGGAGTGTAAAGTGAGGAGTGTGTAAAGTGTAGAGTGTGGAGTGTAAAGTGCGGAGTGTAAAGCGTGGAGTGTGGAGTGCGGAGTGCGGAGTGGAAAGTGTGGAGTGTAAAGTGAGGAAGGTGGAGTGTAGAGTGTGGAGTGTGAAGTGAGGAGTGTAAAGTGTAAAGTGTGGAGTGTAAAGTGAGGAGTGTGGAGTGTAGTGTGGAGTAAGGAGTGCACAGTGTGGAGTGTAAAGTTTGGAGTGTGGAGTGTGGAGTGGAAAGTGTAGAATGTGGAGTGTAAAGTGAGGAGTGTGGAGTCTAGAGTGTGGAGTGAGGAGTGTGGAGTGTAAAGTGTAAAGTGTAAAGTGTGGAGTGTAAAGTGTAAAGTGTGGAGTGTGGAGTGTAAAGTGTAGAGTGTGGAGTGTAGAGTGTGGAGTGTAAAATGTAAAGTGTGGAGTGTCGAGTGTAAAGCGTAGAGTGTAAAGTGTATAGTGTGGAGTGTAGAGTGTAAAGTGTAGAGTGTGGAGTGAGGAGTGTAAAGTGTGAAGTGTGGAGTGTAAAGAGTGGAGTGCGGAGTGGAAAGTGTGGAGTGTGAAGTGTGGAGTGTAAAGTGAGGAGTGTGGAGTGTAAAGTGTGGAGTGTGGAGTGAGGAGTGTAAAGTGGAAAGTGTAAAGTGTGGAGTGTAAAGTGTGGTGTGTGGAGTGGAAAGTGTAGAGTGTGGAGTGTGGAGTGTAAAGTGAGGAGTGTGGAGTGTAGAGTGTGGAGTGAGGAGTGTGGACTGTAAAGTGTCAAGTGTGGAGTGTAAAGTGTAGAGTCTAGAGTTTGGAGTGTGGAGTGTGGAGTGGAAAGTGTAGAGTGTGGAGTGTAGAGTGTGGAGTGTAAAATGTAAAGTGTGGTGTGTAGAGTGCAAAGTGTGGATTGTGGAGTGTAGAGTGTAAACTGTAGAGTGTAAAGTGCAGTGTGTGGAGTGTAGAGTGTAAAGTGTAGAGTGTGGAGTGAGGAGTTTGGAGTCTAAAGTGTGGAGTGGGGAGTGTGGAGTGGAAAGTGTAGAGTGCGAAGTGTGGAGTGTAAAGTGAGGACTGTGGATTGTAAAGTGTGGAGTGTGAAGTGATGAGTGTAGAGTGCAAAGTGTGGAGTGTGGAGTGTAAAGTGTGGAGTGTGGAGTGGAGAGTGTAGAGTGTGGAGTGTGGAGTGTGGAGTGTAAAGTGAGGAGTGTGGAGTGTAGAGTGTGGAGTGTGGAGTGAGGAGTGAGGAGTGTGGAGTGTGTAAAGTGTAGAGTGTGGAGTGTGGAGTGTATAGTTCAGAGTGTAAAGTGTAGAGTGTGGAGTGTAGAGTGTAAAGTGTAGAGTGTGGAGTGTAAAGTGTAGAGTGAGGAATGTGGAGTGTAAAGTGTGGAGTGTGGAGTGTGGAGTGTAAGGTCTCAAGTGAGGAGTGAGGAGTGTAAAGTGCAAAGTGTAAAGTGTGGAGTGTAAAGTGTAGAGTGTGGAGTCTAAAGTGTAAATTGTGTAGTGTGGAGTGTAGAGTGTGGAGTGCGAAGCTTCCCCCATAGACACGGCGACGCCACAGGAAAACCAGAGACTCGAGACGAGACACGTGGGTGCAGAAAAACGAGCATTTCGTGCGAGACTTCCTCCAATTTTGACATTTTCCACATGTTATCAAACAGGTTGGAATGTCAAAAGTGCCACGCCTGCCACGCAAAACGGCATGACAACCTGCTTGGAAACCTTCGAAAAGGAGAGGTTTTTCATGGTTTTGCAGCTTCCCCCATAGACACGGCGACGCCACAGGAAAACCAGCGACTCGAGACAAGACACGTGGATGCAGAAAAACCAGCATTTCGTACGAGACTTCCTCCAATTTTGACATTTTTGACACATTATCAAACAGGTTGGAATGTCACAAAGTGCCACACCTGCCACGCAAAACGACATGACAACTTCCTTGGAAACCTTCGAAAAGGAGAGGTTTTGCGGCTTCCCCCATAGACACGGCGAAGCCACAGGAAAACCAGAGACTCGAGACGAGACACGTGGGAGCACCAAAACGATCATTTCGTACGAGACTTCCGGCGATTTTCACAGTTGGCAACATAACAAAAGGACAGGTTTTGCAGCTTCCCCCATAGACACGGCGAAGCCACGGGAAAACCAGAGACTCGAGACGAGACACGTGGGAGCACCAAAACGAGCATTTCGTACGAGACTTCCTCCAATTTTGACACTTTGCAGCTTCAAAATCGACGTTTTCCTACGAGTTTTCCTTAGAACCTGAAAATTTGCAACCTCAAAATCAATGTTTCGTGCGAGGCTTCCGTCAATTTTCAGCACATGTCACAAAATGCCACGCCTGCCACGGAATTTGCACCTTGTCGCCACTTGACGCAGCCCTGCCAATGCGATTTACAAAAAACACGCAAAGGACACGTCTAAAGTGCTGCGCCTGCCACGAAAAATGACGATGGACACGCCCAAAGTGCTGCGCCTGCCACGAAAACTGCAACACATCTTCTGAAAACGTCGCAAAAGTATTGCGCCTGCCACGCGAAACGACTTTCGACACGTTGCAGAACACGTCTGAATGTCACGAAGTGGCACGCCTGCCACGCGAAACGAAGCAACCAGACGTCTGAAACCTCCAAAAAGGACCACCTCTGCAAAACTTCCCATAGGCACGGCCATACGGAGTTCGCGCGAACGGTTGCGGACGGTTGCGAACGGTTGCGACCGTGAACGCAACGTCGAGCGAACACACCCTCAACCCCCAGACCCCCAGAGTGAAACGGGAACCCTTGCTACGCATTCGGGAAAATGTCACATAGTCCCCATCGAGAATAAAGATGGTGATGACGTTTATAAAGCAGTCATGGAGTGTTTCAAGGTATTAGGTCAGCCTTTGTCGATTTACAGCGACGACGAAGGAGCGTTGAACAGCAAGAAACTGCAAACATTTTTTCAGGAGGAAGGTATAACGCACG